TACTAAACTAATGTCATCTCAAAGATGCAAAATAGTAAATCTAGAGTTGTAGCTTTCCGGACTAGATGGAAAAACTCTTGTCTCTAAGCAATAAAGAAATATAATAAAGATGCCAGTCATACGCAATATGAGAGATTCCAGCACTTGTTTATTTCTAATACAATATTTTACCATATTATTTAAAACTAAAACACTACTTAATCTATTAGTCTTCTTATAAATCAACATCCAAATTAAGCCACTCCTAGAGTTGGCTTTGTGGTTTTGGCAATTCATTTACTGGTTACAGTTTTGGAGAACAAACTTGAGATTTCCTACAAAATCCTATTAGTTAGGTGGGGCATCACAGTCGCTACCATGACGGCGCTACATGCCAGCAGTCAGGTATGACAGTGAGTGAACTTTTGAAGCTTAGTTGTCAAAATGTGGCAGAGATGATGAAATGTGTCATTTAACAATATTTTATAATACTTTACTTACAAAGTAAACATTTATTCTGTAATAAGGAAATTTCTCTAAGAATGAGAAGACTGAGAATTGTTCTAAAATAACATTTAAAAAATGCTTTTTAATCTAAAAAATAAAGCCATCAAAAACGTATACATCAACTGACCATCCAAAATACCACACAAATTTTAAACCATCACTGATTCGAAAAGACCACAAGAAGACAAAGACTATACTTTAGCCCTTATTTCCTAGAATGTAAAGGGAGTAAAGGACAGAATGACATTGAATTATTTTATGCTGGATTTGTGCAGTTAGCACTCATACCTGATTGAAATGGTTATTCAGGGTAAAATCAGTTTTTCATGTTGTACTGTGTTGAATTGTGTCTCCCAAAGTTCAGCTCTACCTAGAGACCCAGAATGTAACTTATTTGGAAATGGAGGTTTTTCAAATGTAATTAAGATGAGGTCTACTGGATCAGGGTCAACTCTAAACTCAATGCTGGTGTCCTTTCAAGGAGGCCATGTAAAGACAGATAAAAAAACATAGACGACAGTGTCATATGAGGAACAGAGCAGAGACTGGAAGGAATTATCTACAAGTCAAGGGGTTGGGGACAGCCAGTAAAGGTTAGAAGTGGCTGCTTTAAACCACTTGATTTGTGATACTTTGATTTGGCAGCCTTAGCGAATTAGTATCTATGTCAAATTATATCTCACTAAAATGACCTAAATAGTTAATATGTAGATCATCTTAACACGGTGCCTTAGAGTTTTAAGCAGAGGCTGAAAGAAGCTGACGTAAGCAGGTCACCCTCATGCCTTTCTCTATTTCTGCCTACAAAATGAGGAACAGTGTTCATGTGCTGGGAATAGTTAGGCAGCAAATATTTGGAGATTTTTGGACTCATTTCTAACTCTAGATTAACTAGAATTCAAGTCAGAACATATCTTCCTCTGAGGAACCAGTGGTTTTTCTCCTCTTATAATAACTATACATTATTTGTAGACAATGATACGATGTGTTAAGAGAGAGGGGAGAGGCAGGGAGAGGAACAGAGAAAAATGTAGAGCTCAATAAAAATCAATAAAAAAAAGAAGAGGACATTGGGCGGCAATCAAATCAAGGTATTTAGTATACCTGTTACCTCATACATTTATCATTTATTTGTGGTAAGAATACTTAACATCCTCCCTTATAGCTACTTTGAAATATTCAATATGATAGATATTGTTAACCAAAGTCACCCTACTGTGCAGGAGACTATCAGATCACATTCTTCCCAGCAACTCTGGACTATTGGCCAACCTCTCCCCATCCTTCCGCTACCAACTTCTCCAGCTACTCATAATGACTATTCTTTCTACTCAGTTTCTATGAGGCCAGTGTTAGATCCCACATATGAGTGACACCACGCTGCAGCTGTCCTGCTGTGTCTGGCTGATTATACTAATCCAAATGCTTCCCAGGGTCACTCATGTTGCTGCAAATGACAGGCACGTCAACACTATGGTAATTTTGTTCCCTCCAAATTCTAATGATGTCTTCCTGAATGTTAAACTTCTTGTTCAAATTTGAAGCTTTGACTAGGGCAAACAAAGCCTCAGATGTTCTTCAGTCATCCCTAGGCGCTTACTCTTGTTTGTTTTGTCAGCTTAAAACTTCTGGTCTCCAACTCAGATATTTAGAATGTTACTGCGTCAACAAGAATAACATAAAATGGTTCCCTGGGATTCAGCAACCTGAAAGAATTCATAGTCCTCAAAACTATGCCAGTGGTTGTCACTATTAAGGACCCTGTAAAACAAAACAATTTATTCAAAGCATGGGGTGTGGAGTAGTGGAAGGAGGAAATACGGATGGACAAAGTTTTAAAAGTTTCTCCCCAAGAGCTGTTCATCCCTACTATCTCTTGCTTTAGAATTTTAATTTGTTTACTATTATTAGAGTGAGTGAGTATGTGTGTATATGTATGATGTGTATGTGTTTGGGGGGCTCCATGCTATGGCACGTGTGTGGAGGTCAAAGGTAACTTTGAGGAGTCAGTTTTCTTCTTCCACTGTGTGGGCTTTGGACATTAGACTTGGTAGCAAGTGCCTTTGCTTGCTGAGTCACCTCATTGGCCCTTTTCCTTTTTAGGTAGTCTCACTGTGTAGACCAGGTTGGCTTCTAACTTGTGATCCTTGTGCCTCCGTCTCCTGAATGCTGAGGATCAAACCAAAGATCTTGAACATGCTGAGCAAGTGTTCTACCACCAAGTTACACCTCCAATCTATGCCCGTGTCTAAACTGTATTTTTTAGGTCCCTTACATTCTGAAGTCAGAGGTCAAAGGACACCTTGCAAGAGTTGATCATCTCCTTCCACTATGAGGTTCCAGGGATTGAACTTGAGTCATTAAGCTCGACAGCAGGCACCTTCACCCGCTGAGCGATCTACCAGCTCCACACTCATTTTAAATTATGTTTACCTACATGTGTCTATGTGTGAGTATGTGTCTGTAAACACAGTTGCCTATAGAAGCCAGAAGAGGGTGTTGGATCTCTTGGAGCTAGAGTTATAGGCAGTTGTGAGATGTCTGTTGTGGGTGGTAAGAACTGAACTTGACTTCTCTGGAAGAACAGCAAGTGCTCTTTCTCCAGCCTCTTCATACAGAATTTCAGACTGTTTGTTATAGCAGTTAATCATATAAAAAGCCAAACCAAGGGAGGGGTCGATGGTTCAGTGAGTAAAATGTGCACTGTGTAAGCATTAGGGCTTGAATTCAGGTCCCCAGAATCTATATAAAAAGCTGGGCTCAGCATTGTGTCTGCAACTTCAATGCTGGAGGACCCCTATAGTTCACTGCCCAGTCCGCCTATATGAATAAAAAAGCTGCAGGTTTAGTGAGACAACTTGTCTCAAAAAATAAGGTAGAGAGTGAGTAAAGAAGACACTCCATGTCAACCTCTGGCCTCTACACATGTATCCACATAGCCTCATAAACGTCACCCCCCCAAAGCTAAACTAAGGAAATCTGATAATCAATTTTTGACCAAATTTATGGAGAAAAACCGTTTCAATAACTATAATTATTCAGTGTGAAGCTGCAATATCATGCAACATTCTTAGCTCAGCTTTCCCCATAGCAGTACTCATCAAAATAGGGTTCTACAGGATTTCAAAGTAAAAGATTTGTGCCCGAATTAGTTTGAGAAATGTTATTAAATAAATCTCAAAAGGTTTCTTTTTTCAGGACATCTTAGCACTGTTAATATAATAATGCCCATTTTGAATCCCACACTTATTTAGTCATGACATAACCAATTAAAGTCTTTTCTCCCTTACTGCCATAGCAGAAGAATGATCTATAGAATATCCTGTAAAGTTTTGCTTTAATGTAATCTGTATCCTATGGTGTGTGAATCAAGTAGTACCAAATATTTCTAGGTCTTCCAAAGCAAGTTTTGTTCTCTTATTATGGCAAAAAGCTTCCTACAAAAATGACTGACATGTACTCTTACCATCAGAACCATCCAAGATTTTCACTGGAGAAATCGCGCAAGCTTTCTGATACTACACTGAAGGTGGGCATGGGTGGTCAGTTTCTGTTTATATTCTTTCTGATACTACACTGAAGGTGGGCATGGGTGGTCAGTTTCTGTTTATATTCTTTCTGATACTACACTGAAGGTGGGCATAGGTGGTCAGTTTCTGTTTATATTCTTTCTGATACTACACTGAAGGTGGGCATGGGTGGTCAGTTTCTATTTATATTCTTTCTGATACTACACTGAAGGTGGGCATGGATGGTCAGTTTCTGTTTATATTCTTTTTGGGAGGGGGAATAGGGTCTCACTGTGCAGTCTTGGCTGGCCTGAAAATCTCTGTAGACTGGGCTGGCCTCAAAATCATAGAGATCTGCCTGCCCTAGCCTTCCAAGTGCTGGGATTAAAGGCGTGTGCCACCACACCTAGTCTAGCTTCTGTTTTTGTTTTTGTTTTTTTGTTTATTTGTGCCCTAATCTGCTGGTGAAGAAGCCTGCCAAATTTAATGATGGAACACGCTCTTATGTTTGAAGACATTTGTATGAATCCCAGTGTACCAGTGATATTAAATGTTTATGTGTGCGAAGAGAGCTAATCCACTGCCCAGTATCTCATTTGTTTTTATCACTTCTGTATGCATGCTTGAGGAATAATGTTTTAAAGCAACAGAAAGAAGTCACCGTTAAGATTAATAGTTTATTATAATAGAAATAAAATATACGTTGGTAAATTAGGGTTATACTACACTCTTTAAAAACTCATCACTTGCATGCACACATTATTTATAAATATAAGTATATACAAATTCCACATTGTGGTTAGATAAAATATACTGCATTTGTACTACACATTTGCTTTATTTTGGTTTGGAAGTTGTACTATATAGTTTGTCCCATTTTTCATAGATTCAAAGAAACTGAAAATGAAGTGCAAAGATAGAAATCTGTGAATCTCTATAAAGTAAAAAGGTCTGCTAAATAGTAAATGTTTTCCAAACAAAAAAACCTAAAAAGACGAGACTTACATCTAGCAATGTGTGAAGATGCTGATCCTGGAAAACACTGTGTAGAAAATCTAGGTCCTTTTCACTGCAGTCCGTAAGTGCGTGAATCTCTTCCAGGCTGTCCAGCACCTGCGACACAGCTCCTGGAGGGTGCAATGGGAAAGAACTGCTAGCACATCACCACTGTTACACTACCTTGTAACCTTAAGCTTGCATTTAATAATAATGAGCTCAGGATTCAGAAGGCTCGCGTTTTTATGAAGGAGAGGCTTACATGTGCTTCATATCATTAAAGGGCACAATATTTTGAGTATTTATGTTCTCAACAAAATGTGTCTTTTGTTTTTAAAAGTGAACTTAAGCATGGATATTAAATTAAAGCACTCTATAAACATAACTGGGCTACTGTGACAGAAGATCTGGGTGCAACAAGTTATACATCAGCTAAAGAGTAAGGGTAGAGAACCCCAAGGCATTGCAATATTATAGAAACAACATAGGTGGGCCTTTTACACATGGGCATTCTATCAAGAAACAACAGTCAACTATGGATAAGAGGCACAAACCCTCAATTGAGAGATCTTGCTGCTTAAAATAAGCTTGCAAATTCTTTTATAGTTTTAGTTAGCAAAGACCCCAGGCAGCTTATTCCTCTTTAAACTTTACATCTGAAGTCAAGAGAACCAAAGTTACTCTCATTGTCTCAGGACATTATACAGACCCAAAGACAAAGGTTGGTAGACAAACAGGTGCATGCATAATGGACACATCCAAATACCACATGAAAGTTTTAGAAAATCATTTTTTAGGGCAGAGAATGGAAGCATTATCAGTTTCCCTACATTTCCTCATGTTTAGCACACTAGGCAGGTATCATTAGTGAAAGATACACATGAACATTATTAAAGTCATATACACAGCCTTAAAGAATGTGTCTTACTCTACAGACAACATGCAAATAAACATCTGATAAGAAGAATCCCTAGAGGCTTCAGCACATTTGTATATACCAAGAAAGTCTAAGAATAAGTACTCCATTCATAGTTATGTCTTCAGATTAGTGGTTCTCAGCTGGGTGGGAGATTTGGATTTTGTTCTCCAAGGGGACATTTCTTAGTGTCTGGGGCTATTTTGGATTGTCACAATAGCAGAAGTGAGGGTAGCTATTGGTCTGTAGGAGTAGAAGGTAGGTATTGTATTGAATATTCTCCAAGGTCTAGGACAGCACTTCACAACAAAGAGTTGCCTGATCCAAAATGTCAGTGCTGAGTTTATAAAAATCCTGTTTCAGACAAAAGTGAAATATTCTTAAGAACTGTTTCTAGTTCTTCTTGTCTTAGATTCCATTACAATACGTTTATTGGTAAGAATGTAAATCAGTGTTATTCCCCAGAAGGTAATCTGGCAACATATGTCAAAAAACCTTAAATGCTAATGTATTTCAATCTGCTAATTTCATTTGCAAAAATTGACCTTAAAGAGAAAAATAAGATTTTGTACAAGGATATTTATCATATAAATGGAAGATAAATCTAATAGATAATGATTAGGTAAATTACGGGATGTTCACATAATGAAATATATAGATGAATAAAAATTTTTTGAAAAAAATGAAGATATAATAAAATTCTCATGATACAAAATTTAGAAAAGTAAAACAATAACCCATGTAACATATTTCCTAATTATGGTAAAAAAAAAACCCAGACAGACAGACACACACACACAGTGGAAAAAATAGGACTAAATCTACCAGAAGTGTAAGCGTAACTATTATTTCCCTACTAAGTTCATCCTGTTCTTGTTCATATGTTCCAAGGTTTCTACAATAGCAAAAACAAGTTGCTACCTAAGCTACTGATTTTCATAGTACTATTTAGCTATATTAAAGTTTTGGTGTTTAAGTCACAAATCTATCCACGTGGAAATTACTGTGGCTATTTAAAAATTGTCTTTATTTTGGGATAGTTATAGATGCAATGCACTTGTAAAAAATGACACAAAGATCTAAGTTCATCCAGTTTCCTCCAATATTGCTATATGACAAAACCTTAGTAGACATCTCAGTCAGGATGATGATACAGGTAAAATAAGCTACAAACATCTGTCCCCACAAGGCATCTTCATGATGCCTCCAAGCCACTCATTTTCCTCCTGTTCTGCTCTTTCCTAAGCCCTGACAACTACCAATGTGTTCTTCACTTCTATAATTTTGTCTTTTTGTGATATTATATAAATGGAATCACATAGCATATAACCATTGGAGATTGGCTGTTTTTTTTTTTTTTAAGTTTTTTTGAGACAGGGTTTCTCTGTCATTTTGGAGCCTATCCTGGAACTAGTTCTTGTAGACCAGGCTGACCTCAAACTCATAGAGATCCACCTGCTTTTACCTCCCAAATGCTGGGATTAAAGGTATGTGCCACCACCACCTGGCAGGAGATTGGCTCTTTTTTTAAATCTGGCATACTTCTCTGCAGTTATCCAGTTTGCTCCTCTTTACTGCTGAGTTGTAGTCCATGGCATGAATATGCTAGTTTGACCATTTATTTGTTGAGAAGTAACAAGTGGTACTTTTAAATTTTGGATAATTTATGCCTATCAGGCTATTGAGATTTTCACCAGAGATATTAAGTAGGTTTTGAATGGGATAAAAAGGTACAACCAGTCCTCTGCCCCTGGTATTCCTGAAGGTGTATGGACGGATGCAATCTATTGCCTTTTACCCGCTTTTAGGATTTTTATTTTGGTCAATGTAGTAACAAGCAAAACCCTCAAAGAACAACAAAACAACAACAACAACACACTGTAAAGTAACACAAAACCAACTTTGTTCATCCTTACTGAAAGATCTGCAAAGTTAAGAGAACATGTGGAAAAAAATTAGTCCCCAATGTCCCTATGAATCTTGAATTCCTTAAAGCACATCATCACTAGCAGAATTAAATGATACCGGGGTTATCAAATTGTTAAAATCAGTTCTAAAGTCTTAAACTTGTGAAATTAAAGCAACAAAAATATTAAGGAAATAGGTTTTTGTATACTTAAAGTCAGATAACATAAAACCTAGTTATTTTCATTCAGTCATTTTAGTATTTTTTGTGCTCATATATATAACTATATAGCAGCTTCCTAATAAGATTAAAACAAAATCATCATGTATTAAGTGAATACTAAGGTGGCCAGGCTGGTGAGTGGAAAGCACTCCCGCTTGTACCTGACCAGTGTATATCACTAGTGGATCTGTGAACTCCCCAAGTACGTGTGTCTTTCTTGTCCTGTCAGTACATTCCACATGTCACTCACTGGACTTCTGTTTATTCCTTTTTTAAAGGGTTATAAAATCCCCAAGGCTGGTCTGTATGTTATATATTTTATAATGTCTACAAGCTGTGAACCGGAATGTCCCTTAGAATGATTAATAGGGGCTGGAGAGATGGCTTGTACTTATGATCACTTGCTGCTCTTGCAGAGAACCCAGGCTCAATTCCTAGCTCTCAATTGCCTGTAACTCCAGCTCTAGGGGGATTTGATGCCTCTTTCCTCTGTGGTCAACTGTACTCATGGCATACACCCCCTCCACACACATACAGTTAAAATAATAAAGATAAATTAAAAAGAGAATTAATAAGAACAGCAGCTATGAATTCTTTAGTTTCTATTATTTGCCAACACATAAAGGCAGATATCATTCCATCTTTCTAGATAGAGATTTGCTTTTCAAAGGTTCCAGGTAGGAAGTGGTAGAACTAGGTCTTAGCTTAAAAGTCTATGCTTTGCCTGACTTACTATACTAACTGCCTGGCTAGGAGGCACATAGGAAACTGTAACAGTCGTGGTTCAGGCATAGATATAGAGGTTGGAAAAGAACTTGGCCCTAGTGCATCAGCCCATAACTAAGTTCCTTATTGAACTGAATGTTTTTCCTTTGTGCCAGGTGCTAGGTAGGGGCTTCACGGAAAACAGAACTATGCTCTCAAGCCTCAAGGAGCTCCGGGGTTGGTGTATGCAGGAGGCAAACTACACCCTGAAGTGAGTAATCCTGGGACAGGGTTGGGGAGGAAGAGGAGGATGAGCAGAAAGTCCCCGCTTTAACCACGGGATAAATCTGTTGATGGGGCCACTGGATGGATGTCTTTCTGAAAACATGGAAGACATCTGTTAGCCTCCATTCCCATTGTCTCCAATGGTCTACTATACTTCTATCTGTCACTTCTGGAGGGACTTATAGTCCCTTACTAGTTTATACACAAATGGGATTCATTTAATGTACTCTCCCTCATGAAAGGGAACACTTCCCCAGTTGTACTTAAGTCATTGAAAAAAAGTCACTAAGTTTCTGTAATTATGTAGAATTGTTTCACTTAATTTTTCTTTCGTTTCTCAAATTGAATAAATGGTTTTGCTTTAATTTTAAAATCTTTCCTTTACCTGTGGCTGCTGTTGTTATTATTTTCAGAGCTGGAGATTGAAGTCAAGGCTCTTCTACTAAACTATACTCCATCCCAAACTGTGACCATTTCCATAGCTTCTTTTTAAAGAACCAATTCTAGTCTTATTATTTCTTTATTGGCCTAGAACTTATAAGAGATCCTCCAGCCTCTGCTGTGCCATTGCCTGCAATCTTGTTATTTCTTTCTCTGGGTTTGACCAGCAGAACTACAAAACATATTTTGGGGCTGATGGATGTGTACAATTAGTATCTCTAATCAAGTACCAAACCCATCTAAAAGGCCCGTAGTTCTTCAATGAAAGAAAAAAATAAATTAACATGGGGCTGGAGAGATGGCTTAGTACTAAAAGCAGTGATTGCACTTTCAGAGGACCCAGGTTGAGTCCCAGCAGCCACACAGTGGCTCACAACCATCTGTAACTCCAACTCTAGGGGATATAATGCTTCTTCTTATCTTTGAGGGCACCAGAAACACACACACACACACACACACACACACACACACACACACACACACGCAAAATATTCATACAAAATAAAACAAACCTGGGTAAAAATACATTGACATAAAGATTTTGGTAAGGTTTTCCCACTGCTATTGCTTCAGATTTAAAATACAGGCACTAGACAGATGATTAAGCTGTTACTAGTATTCATTTTGTAGATCAATATTGTCATCTAGGAACAAATGACTTTTTTAAAGATTGAAAATGATACTTTCCTATAAAACCTTGGAATAAATGTTTAACTGCCTTAAAAAAAACAAACCAATCAGCCAGTAAGTAGTCCACAAGTTCTCCCTAGGAGACAGCTATCTAGTGGCACAACCACAGGCATCCTATTTGCTTTTGTATTCTGAATTGTACCTTGTAGAGTGTGTGGTTCAAAAGGATGCTTTATCAATGATTCTTGATTAAAAGTATTTTTTCTAAACAAATTTTGAAGAATTTAGAGTTAAGTATTAAAATAGAAGATTTACCCACAGAAAACATTTTTATTTTTTGGAAACAGAATCTTGCTATGTAGCTCAGGCTGGCCTCAAATTCCTGTGCCAGTCTCCAAGAGATGGGATTACAGGTGCGAGATAGCATGCCCAGATAAAAATCAGAGTGGAAATTATTTTCATACAAATGTATGTATGGTAATTTGTGTTTTATCCTTGCTATCTGACGTGATTTGACAGCAACACTGTTAAGCAGGCAAATGCTTTTACATTTGAAAAACTGGAAGATTATCAGGGCTCAATAACCTATCTGAGGGCTACTCTTAGATGGGGAGCGGAGAAATGAATCCTAGGACCCAACTATGACTCCTGTTCCATTGTTCTCTCTATAACCTTATACCACATATTACCTTGGCAATGCGCCCACATCACATGGTCAGTAATGCTGTGCTTTCCAATTTCTATTCTCTTCTTAATCTCATTTGCATTTACCATATAAGATTCTTTTCTAGCATTTTGCTCAAACTTTTACACTGATAAATTTACTAAAAGCAATTATATCCTGGCTTAGGATAATATTTTACACAGTTCATTCAGTAATCAAGTGTGTTTTTAAAAGTTCAGGTTGAAAATATTTCTATTTTTGTAAAGAATCTCATTTCTCAGAAAGTTTTCCTGAAAAGTCTTCTGTTGCTATTATGAAACAATAGTAAAAACAGCATAAATATGTCAACTACTTTAAAAGTGTTTTCTAGGCCTATTTATTTAAAGGGGACTATGTTTTTAAGGTCAATAAAAGCTCTGGATCCAGAACAGTTTTATTTCAAGGGTGGTAAAGTCTCACAAAAAAATTACCAAGTGAAAATAAACCCCAAAGGACAAAAGAATAATGTTTAAACTACGTGGTTCTCAGTGTCAGTGTAGTCTGAGTCCCTCTCAAAACCTTTCCCCCACTTAGCAAACTATGAACAACTCCAAACAGGCAGAAAGTCTGAGAACCACCCAGCCCACAGAGTCGTTCACAGCTTGTTGTACGGATCTATCACTTTATAGCCAGCTATCCACTGGCAAATCGCTTTATTTCTCATTCACGGCAAAGTAAGTGGTGAGTGGCTAACACCAGTCACTTCACTCTTGAACAGTTCAGCAGAGATTTCAATTCTCCCCTAGATAAAACTGAAATACAGCAAAGTATATGAATCTCAAGTTTACCATTCAATGGGCTTGGGTGCTCCAATGTTTACCTGTAGTTATTTCAAGAAAGAGCTGTGTGCATTTCTTGTGTACATACATTTCTTGTACAGCTAAGCAACATGGCAACACTGGCAAATGCAGCATGTGAAGGCAACCCACTTCTTTTGAAGGGTAAGCAATACGGTCTATTGCCCACTTCAGGAGAGGCTCATTAACACAACACTGTCCCACTGTACATACATTCTCATCACCCACTCAAGGCCTCTCCCTTGACAACATGATACCTTATTTAAAGATAGGGTTTCATTACGTAGCTCAGGCTAGCCTTGAAGTTATGATTATCCTGTCTCATCCTTCTTGGGTGCTGAGATTATAGATGTTAACCCTGTCCTCAGCTAAGCAATATAATGTTTATATATTTTGTTTTGCCAGGTTTGGTGGCACATGTCTTTAAATGCCAGCACTCAGGAGATAGAGGAAGGCAGATCTCTGTGAGTTCAGGGCCAGCCAGGGCTACATAGTGAGACCTGGTCTCAAAATTTTTTCTTAATCAAAAGTGTACTTTATTAAGTTAACTCACCAATTTAAATATAGTCTGCCATCACTCAAAAATATGGCCCCTTCTAACTGCAGCCCATCTCTTCTTACCACCATCCCCTAGTCAACAGCTTTTATTTTCAGGGTCTAAAGCAAATTCAGCATTTTAATCAAGCTATAATTATCTAATAGTAAATCCCACAATGGAAACTGTACTTTAAATTCTGGCATGTGTACTATATGCAGTTCCTGTTGTGAAAATTTGCACATGATAATAATGTCTCAGATTCCTTATATGTAGATTATGGTATAGGTACCTCAAAAATGTATTATCTTAAGTCTCTTAAGCAACTCTACATATATACATATATATTTCATCAGTATACATAGGCTATAATTCTAGTGACAACATGTTTATTAAAATAGCTGGTTTCCAAGAAGTAATATTCTTTCTTTCTTTATTTTTACTTTGGGTTTTTTTTTTTTTTTGAGACAGGATGTCACTATGCAGCTCTGGCTATCTTGGAACTCACTAAATAGACCGTGCTGGCCTTGAACTCATAGAGATCTCCTTGCCTCTGCTTCTCAAGTCCTGGGACTTAAAGGTGTGTGACAGTAGGCATAAGTAGTAACATTTTTTTGAGCATGATTTTTTCAAAGTACTTTAACAATATTTGGCTATCCCTTAAATGGCCATTTGTGTAACGTTTTACACAGACTAGTAAGAATGATGGATAGGATGCTCATCTTCAATTGTGATGATAGGCGCATGGTTGATTAAAAGGGATAGTGAGAGAGGAATAAGGAAAGAGGAAAGAAGGGCTTGATTGCTTAATTGTTTTCTATTTCTGTATTTATTTATATTTTATATTTCTATTTTATATTTTAAAATATAATATTGATTTATATTTTTATATTTATATACTGGCATGGATATATAGGTAGCTTCTGGGTCCCTAAGATCCTGTCCCCTGCTATATACTGTTTGTGATCAACTCCTTCTCCTGGCATGGGGACTGAGCATATAGAATGGCACTTCTGTGGCAAGGTTAAAAATTGTTCCCTGTCTTGGAAAAACAAGGGCACAACTCTTGGCTTCTCTTTAGTCATTTGTGTTGGGGCGGTAAGCTGCCAGGTTGTGAACAGTCTTATAGACAAGGTCACAGCCAGTGAGGAACAGAAATTTTCTATTAACTACTGGGTGAGTCATGCCTTCAAAGGGGGATGGCAGCTCTGGAGCACTACTGCAAGAGATCTTTTGGCAGGGGCATTAGGAAAGCCATGCCCCTACTTCTGATCCACAGGCACTGCACGGAGAATGAAGCAATCCAGTACTCAGCCATAGACCACCAGTAGATGATGGGATTTTTGTATTGGCTGCAAATTTAGCTATAAATACCAAATGAACAAAAGTGGCAATGAATTTAATTGTTAGCACTCAGATTTTCTAATTTATCTTTGTCTCTTATTTACTTTCCTTTAGTAAGCATCACTTTGAAGTAAAGTTTTATTTTGCATTTTGAATACTGACGTTAATGCAAACTACCCACTTTATCTGGACTGCCTCAGTTTTACTTACATATGTGTGCATATTTCTTACAGATTAATTTCCCCACATATTCAGATTACATCTTTTTGCAATTAAGGTAAACCCATCATTACTATTCTCTATTATTTATTTTTTTTTTTGAGACAGGGCTTCACTATATAGTCTAGACTGGTCTTCCATGTGCGACTTCCCTGCCTCACCCTCCTGAGTGCTGGGGTTGCACCTGTGTACCTCTATGCCTTCTGATAACTATATTTAATGGTCAAGTTGTTAAAGGACATGGTTTCAGGGCTCATTTCACAGCCCAACATTAATAAACTGAGAAAGGACTCTGTATCAGCAACAAACCCCACTCATGTATGAAACTGTCAAAAGGAAACTCACTTACCTTAAAAGTTTTCTTGAAACTTCAAAATAAAATGTTATCTTGTCCCTGAATGAATATATTTGTGTTTGAAATTCACATGTGAAATAATATTAAGTGTGGTTGAAAATTTAACTCTGCCTCCTTTTGACTTTTGAAATAAGTGAGAAATTAAGTTGAATAGCAATGCCCCAGGAAATCAATACATACGAGTTCTCATTTTATGGTCAGACAGTGTAAAATTCACATTTAAACATCTAAACACAAACAGCTGTGGAAAAGTCAAGCCAGTTATGAACCATGCAAAGCCAAACACTTTTGCATAAAGATAAACCTTAGAGGAAAACAAAGGGATACCTACTTTCTGCTGCTAGAAGTCCTAGGAGGAAGGCAGCATATGGACAAAGGACAAACATGATTTTAGAGCAAGCAGGTCATCAAGCCATAGTTGGGCCCACTAGATAAGCCACAAGCACAGTCCCCCAGTCGACACCCCCCCAAAAAAATTTCACACATCAGTCACTGGGATCTAATTCTAAATTCTTTGCTTTAGAATATGAAAACAGACTATTTCCACTTTGAATTAAGTAGCAAAGTAACTATTTACGATAAGATTAACCTTAAGGAATCTAGTAAATACATAATGAAGGTCATAAAAATCAAAATAGAAAAGTATCTTTAAGAAAAAAATGTGTTGCATTACAATAGCATAACCTAAACATGTCAAACTTTTCTTTGGATGACAAGCTGGGGAGCTTATTAATTTTTAAATACTCACATTTTCTCGAATGCATACATATTACGATGTTAAACTTTAATTTAAGGATATAACATGCTGCATTTTGTGGGCAAGCAGTAATAGTCACTGTCCTCAAAAAAATGTTGTAGGGAGAATTTTAAGAAAATTTGGGAAACAAAATTGGGATTGCCAATTATTACTTTTGTTAGGCTTATGTAAAAAAAGTATCAATCTATCACTCTGTAAGAACAGAAAAGGTGAGCCGGGCGGTGGTGGTGCACGCCTTTTCTCGGGAGGCAGAGGCAGGTGGATCTCTGTGAGTTCGAGACCAGCCTGGTCTATAAGAGCTAGTTCTAGGACAGGCTCCAAAACCACAGAGAAACCCTGTCTCGAAAAACCAAAAAACCAAAAACCAAAAAAAAAAAAAAAAAAAAAAAAAAAAAAAAGACCAGAAAAGGTATTATGAAAGATAGAAGACGAGGACAGTCAGTGTAAAGAATGAGCAGTGGTGAAATACACTGTTTTGTCTTCCCAGCCCTTTTTCTGCCCACCCCCCAGCAGTACCCTACAAGTATAGGTTCTGCAGCTATTTCTCTCTTTTTTGTCTTGGATGCATTTGCAGGTAATCACAAAATGTGCTTCTCGTTTTGTAGTATAAAACAAACCCATACAAATTCAAACAGAAAGACAGGAAAGGTTAAGTTTGGGAATTTAAAATGAACAAGTATAAGGATAAATAGAGAAGATTTTGGGTTTGAAAATTAATGGAAATACTAAAAAGATGGAAGTAATGAAAAACAAATGCAGATATTTTCATTTACAAAATTGCAAAGCTCTATTTGAGTCTAGATAAAATAGAGAAATGGCTTTTTTTTTGGCAGCGGCTGCATTAGTGTTGGCTGCAGAGAGGACACGGTAGCCAGATGGCTGCTTGGTCAGTAAAGTTGATTAGGGCAGAATGCCTTCCACAAAAGGCTTAGTATTAAAAAATAATTTTAGAAATGTATAAATAATTTCTCTTAGCTATGTGAAGCGTGTAGGAAAATTTACACTTTTCTTTAAAAACCTTCTTTGCTTTTGACTTCTGACTACATAAAAATTTCCTCTTCATTTATGGTAGTGACTTACATCTAGATTTTAATTCTTCTACTTTTTGTTTGTAGTACCCATATAGCATCACTGAAAAAAATCCTTTACAGGGAATTGCCGTAGCCATTTGAAATATACATTGCTTAGAAGATCATGAAATTTCCAGATTTAAAGAAAAGAGAAGAGATAAAAAGAACGTAACAAAATGAGAATGCAGGAAAGGGATGCCAAGAAGGATGCTCAACTGTGAACAATTAATGTGAGATCTTGCAATTTGCCTACAAGATGGTGGAAGAAGCTTTTTTGTCATTGCTTAAAAATGACAAAAACTAAGAAACTGTTTCAACCAAATCATTTAAAGATTGTACTAAAGAAGGGAAAATCTAGATGATAAAGTATGTTTAATATAAATAAGCATGTCTACGAATATAATTTCTTTCTGTAAAGAAAAATTTCAACTTTTTCAGAAAAAGAACACCTACATCCTCATTATGTTCTCAGTGGGTAGAGAGGTAAATATTAATTAAAGGCAAATTCTGGAGATTAGGTTTACAAAGTGATTTACAAGGAGTACAACGTTTTCTAGGAAGTGACAGTATAGACATTGAGCACACATCTCAAAGAGATAATTTATTCTAAATATAGTACAAATTGTGAATCTAGTATGTCATCACAAATATGAAATAAAATCCATGCCTGGATGCACTCTCCCTACATATGGTCAACTGTAATCTATGCTGAAAGCCAGAAGAGAAATGGTCAAGCTCTAAAAATTGTCCAGGGGATGGGAACAAAATATAACGGGGGGGGGGGGGGCAGAGACGAACTGATCCGAGTCTGTGTATAATGACAACTATGCCCCAGGCCACTGCACCATAAGGGCTCAGGCAGGTCCTGGGGCAGCACAAGAGGAAGCCTCTGGGCTTTCTCCCCCCCCCCCCCACCCCCGTCACTTCTCTAAGATTCTGAATGTGTTTGGAAATCACCTTCACTCAAAAGAGGAAGATTCATATCCCGATTGGTAAAAGTCAAAAGGAGGAAGTACACACCTGCTGGATTGGGAAACTCAGTCCTGTCATTTTGCATATGGTGTAGACACATACATACTGCTTGGTAAGAGATTGAGTCTGTGTGTGCACATATGTGCATGAAGAGAGAGCAGAAGCATAAACACTGACATTTCTAGACCCACCAAGGAAAAAGTACTCTTATATTGCTGACTTTGGGAATACTGCTCATGCTGTAGGAAGGGTCTCAAGTCTGAATTCTAATGCTCATATACAAATATTAAAGAAACCAGTTTAGGTATATAAAAGTCAAATTAGAAGGAAAAATCCAACCACATAAAAATTGTCTTGAACAGAAGTAAAGATGAGGCTCGATGACATACAATGCAGGAGCTAAGGAAATAAACCAGAAGGAGCCCATGTCCAACACTGGACAGCCAGGATCCAGAAGCTGGATGGCTGAGAGACCTAGGGTAGAACCAACATGACTGACAAAAGGTCAATGAAATTATTCCTAATGATATTCTGCTATACGCATAGATCAGTGTCTGGCCCAATCATTATCAGAGAGGCTTCCTCCAGCAGCTGATGGGAGCAGATGCAGAGACCCACAGCCAAACATTAGGCGGAGCTTGGGGAACCCCTCATAAGAGTTGGAGGAAGGATTGTAGTAGCCAGTGGGGTCAAGGACACCACAAGAAAATGATCCACCACGAAAATGATAAACAGAACCAAGTAAGCAGGGTTCATAGGGGCTCAGAGAGACTGAAGTGGCAACCACATAGTCTGCGTGGGTCTGGGCTAAGTCCTCTGCATATATGCTGTGGTTGTTTAGCTTGGGGTTTTTGTTGGATTCCTAACAGTGGGAGTCGGGGGTGGGGTGGTGTCTCTGACTATTTGCTGCTCATGGAACCCTTTTCTTTCTGCTGGGCTTCCTCGATATGAGGGCTTGTGCCTAGTCTTACTGCATTTTGTTATGCCTTATTGAGCTGATATTAGTGGGAGGCCTGTTCTTTTCTGAAGGGAAATGGAGGAGCAGTGGATCTGGGGAAGAAGGAAGTGTGAGGGAGGACTGGGAGGAGAGGACGGAGGAAAGGCTGTGGTAGGGATGTATTGTATGAAAGAAGAATAAATAAAAAGGAAAAAAGAAATCTGAGCACTTTGCATCTAAACTGGTCATTTAGAGTTTTAGTAAATGGTCCTGGTGAACACCTCACCGGTCAGATGGAAATGTGAGCATTTTGCAGAATGATTGTGTGAGTACTAGCAGCTTTTTCTCCGAGAGTACTTACGTGTCATCCGTCAAAACAGGTAACTCTTCTATGAGCTTCTTCCTTGAATACTTGCACACATGAGTTAGAGACTTTACAGAAAGAAGAACTTGGTAACTGTTTAAAGCTCCCAAGACAGCTTTTATATGGAAGGACTAAATTTCAAGCAGTGCTGTCCCCAACTCTGATTCCCTGTAGCTGACATGGGAAAATCTTCTACTAGAAGGTTTTGCAGGGGGAGAAGATGATTGTCGAGATCCAGCGAGTCTGATTATGACATTGGGGTGGATGAAATGGAGCACAGAGTTTGGAGTGCACAAAGGGGAAGAAGTATTGAGGTAAAGAGAAACTGGCATAATGTTGGTTTGGGAGCATTCGGGGAACACAGCTTTGGTATTCAAATAAAGAGGAACCAGACACCTGTAGGTAGGATTTGGTGGCTATCAAACTTCTTTAGAATCTCTTGGAGGTCTCGACTAAATTCCCACAAAGATTATTCAGAATGAATGAGAAAAGATGTATGCCAAGTGATTCACACAGGTGAATGAGGGAATTTCCCAATTACCTGAGGAGGTAGGGTCTTCAGAGAAATCTGGCAACTCTTCAGGAGGGTCCCCATAGAAGGAGTTGAATTTATGACTTGACACAGCAGCTAGTACTGCACCCTAATGCAAAAAGATGAAAAAACATACAATTAAAACATACCCAGAAACATAAGACATTATCTAAACGGTTATTTACCTTAAGAATTATGCAGAAAGTATATTTGTAAGGAATGTTGGCTAGGAGAGAGGCGGCTCTCAAAACAACTTTGGATCACTTCATACCATTTCCATTTGCGGAATGAAGTACATAAACTAATTACGTCTTGGACTTGCATATGTAACATATGGTACAAGACTCTGTCACCATAAAATGATGTGGCAGAAAGGATATTTAGTAGAACAGAAAGATGTTTGCGATAAATTATATTTTAAAAAGCTTTCAAGACAGGCGGTGGTGGTGAACACCTTTAATTCCAGAACTTGGAAAGCAGATCCTTTGAGCTCAAGGCCAGTCTGGTCTATAGAAGTTCCAGAATAGCTAAAGCTACACAGAGAAACCCTGTCGTGAAAAAAAACAAAAGAAAAAGAAGCTTCTAAAATGTAGTGCATAGTCTGATTTCTTCTTTGGAAAAATAGTAATTATAAAACAGTAAACATATATCAGAATATTAACACTAGTATCACTGAGTAGTAGGACTATGAGGTTTTCTTTTATCAAACTTTTTTCTCTTCTCTTTTTGTAACAATGACTACACTACTCTTGCACATCAATTCTCAATCAGGCTATACATTAGAATCAACTACATGTAACTTTTTTTCAGTTTTTGAGATTGAGTATTATGTAGCACAGAGTGGCCTTGAACTTGCTATGTAATCGGGGCTGCCCCAAACTCTTGATCCCATTGCCTCTACTTCCAAGTGCTGGGATTATAGACATGGAACACCACACCTGGTTATGTGTGGATCCTGGAAGCTACGGAGAGGACCCATTGAACCCTAGTAGAGAAGCACTGGCATACTGAGTGCCTGGCATCTTTTAAGAGTACCGTGTGGGAAAGCAATGGGAGTTATTGTTTTAGTTAATAGGAAAAAGCATAAACAGCCATGTTTGCTCTCTAGCTCTGCCTGGTTCTAGCTCTGGAACATTGCTTGAATAGATCATTAAAGCTCTCTAGGTTGTCTTGTTCTTGTGTGTGTATTTGTGCATGTTTATGTGGATGCGTGTGCACAGGTGGTCAAACCTAGGTGTCATTCCTCAGAAGCCATTCAGTTTGCTTTCTGAGACAGAGTCCCTCACTGGGAACAGGGGCTTGCTGAGTAGACTAGGCTGCCTAGTCACCAGGCTCTGGGCATCCCCCATCTCTGCCTCAGGGCTGGGATTATGTGTTCTTATGCAGGTGCTAGGGATGGAACTCAGGTTCTTGTGCTTGTGTAGGAAGCACTTTTTGTGACAGAGCCATCTATTTAATGCCTCTCTAGGTTTTCTTATCTGCAAATTGAGAATCTCAAAGGGGATATACCTTAACTTTGCTATATAACATTGCCAAAAGTCTTAATGCACACAAAAGTGCTTTGAACTCTGTCGAATATTCTGGAAGTATAAATCATTACTAAGTCCACTAAAATAGAGGCAGGCATAAGTGCAAATCTTCTGATGCTCTATATAGAATAATTCACTTAGGTAGTTTAAATATCAAATAGCCAAAGTGGTTTAAATCTATCAGAGTTTCTATGTAAATTTTAAATGTTGAGCTCATGAGTTTTTCTGAAAGGAAAGATAAATCTGCCATGTATGTAGAAACTTGTTGGTAAATACATAAAAAGCCAGTGGCAATGCATTTCCACAAGGTCCACTTTTTTGGGGGGTCATGTTAAGATTTTTCCTCTAAATTTTAATTGAAAAATAGACTACAGGAAGTAAAGAACTGATGCTAGGCATGCTATTTTGTGACTATGGGTGAGGCAGGGACATTGGGAGTTCCAGTCTAGCCTGGCCTACATAGTAAGACCATGCCTTAAAACAGCAGCAGCAACAACAACCACTACCACAACCATTAAAATTATCACCTTAAAACAACAACTACTACCACTACAATTATCGCCCTAAAAAAGACAAAAAAAGTGAAACACATAGAAAATAAAACACAAATGGTTTTGATACTGCCATTTGAGGTGACTGCCTAGATTTCCCATAGTATGGGGTTAAAACAAGGTTTCTAATGTAGAATTATACCAACCATATCGGAAAAATAGTGACTGTTGAGATCTTTCTACAAAAGAATCTTTTTCTTTTCTTTTTATTTAGTCTTTGTGTCTGTTACATTATGTCTCCCAATCTTACCTATCTCCCCCCAGAAGAAAACAAAATAAATTTAAGTGACAAAGGGGGAGGGGAGGAAGAAAGGGAAAATCTTGTTATGGAAGGTGTACTGTGACACAATGAGTAACGCAGTAAACCCCTTTTCCATATATGTTTACATGTAGGCGTTCACTGAAAAGAATCATTGGTCTGGTTTGAGGCTCCTAGTCTACACCATTGATACTGGGTCCTCCCTGGGACTCTTCTTGGGCATCTTGTTGCTTCCCTATTGGAGATCCTGCAGCCCTCTGTCCAAAGGACCCCCTCCCCTGCTGTCCAGGAGATCACAAATGGGGTGGATGTTGGGGTAGGCCAATAACACATAACCCTGGTTCTAGACCTGGGTAGTTGCAGGGTTGCTTGGCCTGCCAGATTTCCCCTGTCTTTGCCACCAGGGTGAGTTCCACAGCATTGCCCTGGCCAGTTCACTCCTTGCAGCAGAGATGAGTAAGGGCCTGTTCTGCTTTCTCATCCTTAGGGTGTGATCTCCCACAACTACACCTTCAGGGCCAGCTCCACTGTGCTGCCCAGGGGAGGTGCAGGGGCGACTCTCCTGAGTGCTGCAGATGAGGGGCAGGGCAGCGCTCCTGTTCTTATGACCTCAGGGCCAGTTTTCCTACGTGCCTCAGATGTGGATGGCTAGGGTGGGCCTCTCTCCCCTTCCCATGCCACCACACGACATATGCATAATGGGGACAGCTCTCCCACACCTCTGCCAACAGGGTACTACTGTATTGTTCAGGTAAGGTACAGGGTCCGCTTTTCTGAGTTCTGTAGCTGGTATAAGGGGGAGGGTCATCTCCCCTGCCCAGCACAGGTGTCAGCCATCTTTTCCTCACCCTCGCCACAACATGGTAGACGAGGGGAGTATGGCCAGCTCTCCCACTCTCACAGACACAAGAGTCTCATTTCACCTTGCATATTATACATGCTCCCTAAAAGCTGGGCAGAATGGAATTTTTAGGCATCAACTCATATTTCCCACATACCCAAATCAAAATTTAGAGATGTTTTGTTTTATTTCCAAGTTAAGTTCAGCTGAGTTTCTTTGTATGTTAGTGTTAGGTTTTAAGGCCTTTTCCAACTACTTCTGTAGTTGAAGATCTTCTAAACATTTATACCAGTACTTAACAGAGCCAGAAAATACTGCTCTGAAGCAGCTAGTTCCTGATTTCTCTGGCCTATGGCTGGCAGTTTGGTCTATTTAGTTTTCTCAGCTCAGTGACCATACACGGTTCCACTATGCAATGCAAGTCAATTATGTGAAATAGGAAAACAGTTTCAAAATAGCTCAGGCTCACAGAATTTTATTATGTATTGAGAGTAAATCTCAGTGATGGGCAATTCTAAAAGATTCATTTCATAGTTGAGAAAATTGAGGTCCAGATAGGCCTAGCAACCTGTTATGATTAAAGGTGTTATCAACAGTGGTCAGAACTGAGATCCACTGACCATTCTTCCTAATTTAAATGTTTCTACACTCCCAGAAGTTAACATTTTTTTACCCTGTAAAGGGACAGATCACAAATATTTTAGGCTTCAAAGGCTACATGATTTCTTTTGATACTACTCAACTCTGCCATCAAAGCACACAAATATAAATGATATACAACACTGATTTTCAATAAAACTTTACACCTCTCAAATGCTGAACTGGACCCCCAGGCCACTGTTGGCCAACTCCTCCAGTAAACTATGGCTAGTGAACAGCCTGTTGGGCACAGCAATAAAAACGGTATCTTATATAAGCAGTTCTCCAATTTTCTGGTTTATTCAACCCTGACAAAGAAGCTTGCTCTTCAAATTTACTAGGTATACTTTAGCATGTTTTAAGGATGAAACATAATTTTAAGTTAAGACTATTCAGAATCTGTTAAGAAAAATCATGATAAGATCGCAACTTTCTGCTTTTAAAGTACTAAAGGGCCATTCCTAAACTGCCTCATCTTAGAGAAGACTGATCGGCAGGCAGAGAAGCAGGCAAGGCATACTTTTGCAATTTGCAAAACCAATAAAGGAAAGCCATAGAGAGTTGTCAGAAATCTCCCTTGCTATGTTCTTTTCCTTTTTAAAATAATTTCTTATTTGACAATTTCTACATGTATTTAATATATTCTGGTCACACCCAGCTCCCTACATCCTCCACTGCTTGCATCCTACTTTTCTGTCCTTTTGTTTTGGGTCTGTTTTTACTTTGTGACCTCACTGGGTGGAACAAGAGTTGCCTGCATGGATACAGGTATGGAACTGTCCACTGGAACATGGGTAACTCACCCGTGACTACACTAAGACACAGAGACTTTAGATAATTTGCTCAAGGCTTCCAATGAGGGAGAGTCAGAATTGGGGTTCAGCCACCCATTATTAGCTCAAGAGCGGCTCCTATGTATTGCTGTGTACTTCTTACTTCTTCTGCTACCCATAATCAAAAATTAGTAACTGCTCTCAGTGAAATTTGTTTTTTAATCATTTCTAAGGTAGTCTTAAAAATTAGGATGCTGCCCCATTTGGGGAACTAACTTCAAATCACTGTCTGGGATAAAAATAAGTGGGCACCTAGCTGTTCATTTGGGGAAATCAGCTGTGGGGTGGTAGGTGTTGTAAAGCAGAGAAGTTACAGTCTTTGTTCTAGAAGTTCATTGGAGAGGCATAGGGAGGAGTATGAGTTTCTAGAGGAGGGCAGGCATGGCATGTGATAACCTGGTGGCCGACAATTCTCAGGAATGCAGCCTTGCCAGAAGCCGAAAACAAGCCTGTAATGATTAGGCTGACGTTCCTAATTCTATGTTGCTTGGCTGGTCTTGAGACTTTAAATAGCCTGCAAAGGGATGTGGTAAATCCACATGACCCCTATTTGTTGTGATAGTTTGGCCCTGTTCAAATGAATCTTAGTCACCAGTTTGGCTATTTTTGGTCTAAGTCTGCTTCTGTGGCACCAGGGGAAGAACATGTCTCCTGTGACGGGCGAGCCCAAGCCCGAGTGAAAGATCTGGTTTTGGGCAATGGAAGGTTCAACCTTACATAGTATAATGTTATGTGAAGCCAAAAGAGGACGAAAGATTAAAAAGCTTTAGAGAAGAGTTAAAAAAGAAGCCCATAGTTTCTTTGAACAGTTGGACAGGAAACTTAACTGCAAAAGAGCTGACCAAATTTTACTCTGAATGATTAGATTTTTTTTCCCACATGATGTCTATACCAGTTTAGGTACATGTCAAGGTAAAGATGTCAAACCTTAAGAAACCACCTTTGGCCAGGTGGTGGTGGTATACGCAGGAGGCAGAGGCTGGTGGATCTCTGTGTTTGAGGTCATTCTGGTCTACATAGTGAGGTCCAGAACAGCCAAGGGCGTACATAGAGAAACCCTAGTATCTTTGGGTACTAGGTCAGTGATGGCATGTCATTAATAACTATTTTTTTGCCAAGGATCTTATAAAAGCAGACAGAGGAGAGCCAGTTTGAACTCCGGACAACAAAAAAATTAGGAGAAAAGCTTAAATAGGAAAGCTCAACATTAATAATGATATGTGAAAAGTTCCTTTTCTGTTCATCAGCATTCAACACCTAATAGAATCTTCTCCAAGGGTGTGGATGTTTTGTATCTATGCTGTTCAATATCATAGCTACGAGTCTGCTGAGCACATGAAACATGATGGTATGAATGGGGAACAGGCACTTGGATTCTTAAATTTTAAGTAACTTAAATTCACATAAGTACATGTGGCTATCAGCCTTCCATGGTACTATTAAAATGTGAGAGGTTCCCCCAACATTTACATAAAATCTACAGCTGTATAAATATCATTCATAATCTTCAAGAGGTAAAGAATAATAAATTAATAGTGTAATTTAGGACATCTGAAAATAAGTTTTGAGCTTGTAGGAGTCATGTGACTAGAGACCATTATCTATCTAGTCAGCCACTTCCAGAACAGACTTAACACATTCAGCACCACAGTTCAAGTAAGCATCAATCATTTCCTCTGCATCTCTGCGGTCCGGTGTTCAGAAAGTTCTGAACTACAATGGCTTCCCGTGAGGGTATTATCACAGTGCCTTTTCACTTTTTGAGGCAGAGGATAAGAAGAGTAGGCAAGAAAATTAACTTGGAAGAATAAAGGATGGCAGGCGATCTTCAAATATTTTCTTACAGATTATGGTAGTGGGGCTTTCATTTATTGCTTTATGATGGCTGTTCAACTGTAGATCCCATGTTAACCCAGTAGCAGTTTGCAGTGAACCAAAAGCACACTTAAAAATTAAAGTCTTATTATCATTGTTAGTTTAACATTTTGAAGTAGTGTCTTTGTAGCACAAGCTGGCCTGAATCTAATAAATCTCCTCCCTCAGTTTTTTTCAGTGGTGGGATTATAGATCATGCTATATTTTTCTGTCAATATTATGTTTGAGAAAACAAAGCTTAGAATCATAACGTAACCATATCTCTGCTATGAATTTTAAAGACAAAACAAATCGAAAACATGTGTATTCCAGTTGCTAAATTGTTTTAATTCCTGCTGAAATATTAACTTAAAATGATCTTAAAGATCAAAAGTTTACTGAAATGGCAACAATTTTTAAAATTACTTAGCTGTAGCAAAAATGATGGCTGACATAAGGATGTGTCTGTAGGAATGGAAGCAGAATAAAAGCATGATCACCTACTCCAGCTAGTAGCTTTTTTGCTGGTTTTTAAAATTTACCTTTAGTTTCCTCCTGGCATTGAATTTCCTCAGTTGTTCTACTGTTTCTGGAAGGTGAATTTTGTAGGCATAACGATCCCGCTCCTATAAAAGAAGATCATAATGATACATAATCACTGAAAAAAGTGAAGAAGCTAAATATAAATTATGAAGGTCAAGTCCTTAAATGTGAAGTTTATATTTAATTTTAAGAAATTGGTTATTTTATATACTAATACATATTCTGAGACAAGGGATATAAACAGTAAAATTGATGGCTAAATAGTATTTCTAGCAATAATAAAGAACTAAAGTAATAAGCTATCTAATTTTTAGATATGTGGCTAAAGTTACAATGGCTGTCAAAATATGAAGTTATCTTTTTCTACTTAATTTTGTAGCTAGCATGCAAAATAACAGATTTCATTATGATATATATCATATATATATAAATAACATGATATATAAATAATATATAAAATATTATATATATATATATATATATATAAATAAATTGTACTGAGGTTGTCTTCATCATGATCTGTCAGGTAAAATGAGCACTTAAAAATGAAGTCTATACTGACTCAGCATTCTGCACTGTCAGGAATAACTGGACTATAAAAATTAGCAAGTCTTCCAGCTAGGACAGACTTTTCAAGGGCATCTAATTCAGCTACTTCCTCCATGCAGGGTCTGCTTCAGTCCTTGCCCAGAAAGAAACTGTTCCCTCTGTAGCAGCCCTTTAGAATTCCAAAAGAGCAACTTAGAATTTTATTTTTAAAAAATGAAACTAGATTCCCAGCTTTCACCCTGCACAAAAGTCAACTCCAAATGGATCAAAGACCTTACCGTAAGACCTGAAATTCTGAAACCATTTGAGGAAAAAATAGGGAAAACACTTGAAAATAGAGGTATAGGAAAGGATTTTTTCAATAAGACTCGGGTCACTTAGGAAATGAGATCAACAATCAACAAATAGGGCCTCATGGTATTAAAAAGGCAAATGAAACTGTCAATTAACGTAAAGGCAGCCTATAGAATGGGAGAAAAATCTTTGCTGGCCAGACATTTGGCAGAGAAGTAGTATTTGAATTATATAAAGGACTAACAAGAATTAAGAAACAACCAGCTCAACAAATGAGCTAATGGAATGAACAGACAGATCCCCAAAGAAGAAATAAATATGGTCAATAAATAATATGAAAAAGTTCTCAACTTCACTAGCCATTTGAGAAATTCAAGTCAGAACTAGCCAGAAAGGCAACTGTTAAGTAAACAATTAGCAAATGTTGGGGTACTATTTCCTGAACGGTCAAAATAAAGCAAGTATCTACCACAAAGTTTAAGGAGCGAGAATGTGTGGAAATTCTGATAAAGATAGTAGATTAATACATGTGGAGATAATGCAGAGATGGGACAGTGAAGACAGATCAGATGGGAGAGATGATAAGGATGGGGCAGGCTAGGCTGGCTTTATTATGAGAGGGCAGAGATAAAGGTGCCTGCTGCCAAGCCTCATGACTTGAGTTTGATGCCCAGAACCTACATGAAAGAGAGAAGCAACCCCACCACAAGCTATCCTCTGACCCCTCCCTCCAATGTGTGTCATGGCATATCACCTAAACAAATAAGTAAACAAATGTAAAAAAGCTTCTTATGAACATTCACATAAAACTCAGTCTTCATATGAATATACACTTAATTTCTCTAAGGAAAAGATAGAATGGCTGGGTCATGTGACTGGTCTGTTTATCTTTTTAAGAGGTCAAACTGTTTTACAAATTGGATATATCCTTTTACATTCCTAGTAAAAGCATGAGTTCCAGTTGTTCTATATCTTTGTCAACACTAGGTGTGGTCAGTCATTTATTAATTTTTTGTTTACATTTATTTAACACATGAGTGTTTTGCCTACATGTATGTATATGCATCATGTGTGCACAGTGTCTGTAGAGGCCAGAAGATGGCATCTGATTTTCTGGAACTGGAGTAACAGATCATTGTGAGCCACCACGTGAGTGCTGGAAATCGAATCTGAGCCCTCTGGAACAGCAGCCAGTGCTCTTAACTGTTGACCATCTATCTAGTCCCAGTAATTTTTATTTTAGCCATACTAACACAAGTATACAGGGAGCTCACTGTGGCATTATTTGGATTTCCCTAGTGACTAATAATGTTGAACAGCTTTGCCTGTGCTTACCAGCTACCTGTGTATCTTTGAAAGAAATCTGCTTAACATTTTTACATTTTAGATTAGATTTTGTTTTCTTATGGAATTTTGAGAATTCTTTACATTCTTTAGATGATTAGACCTTTATCAGATACATAATTTGCAAGGATTTATTCTCAGTTTACAGTTTGTTTTTCATTCTTTTAAAAGTGTCTCTCAAATAATAGAAGCTTTTAGTTCTGCATGTATTTTGCAGGTAGAACAGGATGTTCTGACAGATTGAACATGGGTAGTTCAAGAATTTTGGGTATGAGTAACTGAAGTCTAATTCCAACTGTACTGGGAAGACTAGGGCAAGCAGTTTGGAAGATGCATGGCAACAAATGGGGTTTCCAGTTGATTTTGAAAACACTTTCTACCTAATAGCAAAGTGTTAGGTACTGATGATAAGGAAATCAGTTGAGAAGTGAAGTACTGAAGTGACTGCCTGGTGCTGAGTGATGAGACAGAGAAAGCACATTTCATCACATGCTTCTGCTCAGTAAGATCCTAGGGAGCTTACCTGATGGAATGGCTAGAAGACCGAAAGCTGGAGAAAGGAAGGGAGACATTTCAGGGATCCCAGGCTTTCAGGAGAACACTTAGGCTGACATTGCTGCTATTTCCTTTATCTATTTTACTTTAGTTTTGATTCCTGATATATCCTAGCCTAGGTATAAGGCTGCAGCCCGGAAAGTCAAAGGACCAAATGAGCCCTGAGAAAAGCCCACGGAGAAGAGGATGTTGATGAGGATAGAACCTTGTGGCCATTTCACAGCCTGGCTCTGTCTTTTAGACTAGGAAGTTTACTACAACTGTGACCCTGGACTCTGCCTGTACTTAATCCTGCTATTGTTGGGATGCCTATTCTGGCAAGTATGATTAATTCAGATAGACAAAGGATGTTAAACAGATGCAGTCAACAACTATATAAAGGCATTCATATATTACTCAGTTTAACACTCAGATTATTTTCAACACAGAATAAATAAGAAAGACCTATTTTATTTAACTGAAGAAATAATTCTTTTGCTCTTATTTTTGACTCAAAACAATGATACTTTTGATTTTGTTCACCCTTTATTACAAGAATTTTCATGATTCTATTTTTTTACTTTGTAGTTATTGAGGACATTTTCATTGGCTTACATTTTAGCCATTCTAAATCAACATAACTTGTATCCACTGTAATGAGACACATATATACATGAACAAGAGCTAAATGTAAGAAAGTTGCTCCTTCCAGCTAGATAAGCTCCTCACGGACTTCCTTATCTCCAGATGACACGCAAGCAGTAACAATAACCAGTAGTTCACACATGAAAGTGACTCTGAGTTCAGCTTTTCAGACTTTTCCTTTTATGCTACTGACATTTTAAAAACATTTTGGTGCCAGAAATCTATTCTGTATGGAACTCAGACTACTTAAGACGAGAACTATAATCACTGGTAGACACAAGAATTTCCAGAAAGAAATATGCTATTAACCAAGATAAGCTTTGATAATGAAAGCCCCTGTAACTGTATAATCCTAAGACATCTTTTAAAGGATCTTAAAAATGACTTAAACAGCTGCTATTGTCCTTATTTGGCAGTAAAAGTAACTTTTAAATGACAAAAGAGCTTTATTGCAAAAAACTCAAGAGAAGCAAAGAAAGAACAGGAATCTTCTAAGCTGCTCATTTCATATCAGGAAGAGAAAATACTAACAATAAAGTAAAAACTGTTGAAGAATCTTTGCTGGGAAAATCAGAAATATTAGTATTAAAGTATCAAAAGGTAGAATGCATATTTAAAAAGTAATATTCTTTTTTAACGCTACTGGGGGACTATACTTGTGTTTTTTATGCATGCTAGGATGATGGAGGAAGGTCACTGGTTAAAAAAATAAAGAAACTGCTTGGCTGGCCCTCATAGGTTAAAACATAGATGGGAGGAGTAAACAGAACAGAATGCTGGGAGGAAGAGGAAGTGAGCTCAGACTCCACAGCTCTGCTCGCTGGAGCAGAGACACCATGTCCCGCTCCCGGGCAGACACACGCGATGAAGCTCCGACCCAGGATGGACATAGGCTAGAATCTTCCCGGTAAGACCAGTGCTCACAGATTATTAGAGATGGGTTGATCGAGATATCAGAATTAGCCAGTAAGGGCTAGAGCTAAAGGGCCAAGCAGTGTTTAAATGAATACAATTTGTGTGTTGTTATTTTGGGGCATAAGCTAGCCAGGCAGCCGGGGTGCTGCGAACACAGCCCCGCCGCACCTATTACTACACTAGGAAAGTGTTCTATTATTGAACAATATCTCTCAACCCAAGAAGTAATATTTTCAAGGAGAATCAAGATTTACCAAACTGCCAAAATTTCTGTATATTATTCCATGTCATTACCACCAGGAATACATCATTAATCAATACTTTTACACATATCTTAGTGTCTTGCACAGCCTTGGAGGGAGCAACATGGCATAACAGTAGCCAGGGAAGACTTTACCAAGAAACTGGTATGTATGTAAATAAGGAAATGAAGATGGTGAGGGTACAAACCTCAGTGTCCTAGAGGAAGAATATTCTAGGCAAAGGGAGGGTTGAGGCAGTGATGCAGGACATGGAACTTTGTCAACAGACCAAGAAGGTCTGGCCCTGGGATTTGACCACTAGACTTAGCAGCATGAAGGTCAATAATGACTAGAAAAGAGCTGTTTTTCTTTCGAGTTTTTGAGATTCTGGGGTTGAAACTAAGGGCCTTGCATATGCTAGGCAAGTACTCTACTGAGGCATACCCATAGCCAATGGGGTTGGTAGGATTGAGATCCTGACTAGTATGAGTTCAAGAGAAAGGAATGGCAGAAATTGGGGAAATGGGTACATAAAATTCTGTTCAGTTTTGCAGTTGAGGGAAGCAAGGATTGGGGGCAGAAGCTGGAAGAGTTTGTAGGAGCAAGAGAAGACAGATGTGCATGCTTGCATGTGAACTTAAGCAAGAAAAACAAATCACAACACATAAGACCCAAAAGATCCAGAAAACTGATAATTTGGGAAAGAAGGAAAAGGCTGGAGCAATGTCATCTAGCTAGTGAAAGGGACAGAATATAGGGCATAAATGATAAGTCATGGGAGGATGATCTAAAATCTTGGTTCTATCAGTGATAACTTCTGTGACTTGGGCCAAAATTAGGAACATCTCCAAGGATGTATTCTTCCTTATAAAGCAAGAATTTTCTGTAATTATAGCACAACATTTTAATGAAACAATATTATTTCCTGATGTCTCAAGATATGATTTCCCCTTCATCTAGAAAAATGGTATACAAAAACTTCTGAAATGTGTCTTTTCCCTAAAACAGAAAATCTATACCATGCCTACTGAAAACCAGTGAAGTACTACAGAGTATAGAGTCACCCCCAAAATAAAGATAATGAAGATAACATGGCTACGCCAGCTGTTCATTTTCATCTTTGGTACATGTGTTGCCAGACAACAGCTTGTCTTCCCTTGCAGATTCTGTTGTAATCTGCTTTTGTGCCTTTCCACCAGCCGACTATCATACATGTCTCAGACAAGGTGCAAGACAGCAAGCACGATGGACAACACCGATGGAAGGGGTGAGAAACAAGCAAAGAGTGAAAGGTTAATCTTCTAGGATGATGCACTGCTGCCACTAGCCTTTCAGTCTATGTGGATGGTGAGAGATGAGCGCAGGTACCTTAAGCCATGGGTGATTCAGTGCTTCATAAACGGTGATCCTTTCAGCAGGATCCAGCATCAGCATGCGGCGTACTAGGTCTTTGGCACTTTCAGAGATATGGCTCCACTGCCTTGGATTCATCTGAGGAGGCAACAAGGAAAGTTCCATGGTTATCTTCAAGAAGTCAACACCTACAATTATTTAACATTCTATAATCTATACTATTTCAGCACAACATTCTCAGAGCAAATAACAGAGATTGGAAGGCCTGTTTCCTGAGGAAAAGAACGCATGCAATGCTTTGGGATTTTTTCCTCATATTGTACCAGCAGTTATTCTATTGGTGGTATTAGATTGCACTATTTCAATACCTAAAAGGTAGAATGCCCATAATTCTGGTTTCTAGCTTTCGATTCTTATCTAAAAAGGGTAGAATATATTGATCTACAAAGTACTAGAATAAATTTGAGATGAAAAAAATTAAAGATTCTTTTTTGGAGACAAGGTTTCCCAGGATGGACTAGTACTCACTCTATAGCCAGACTGCTTCCAGTTGCTTCTGCCTTAGCGTCTTGAGTGCTAGCATTATAGATTTGTCCCACTATACCCGGCTAAATAAAGTTTTAAAAGTGATACCTTCAAATACTGGGATTATGTGCTCAGTGTGCTGTGCATCACTATAATCTTAGCAACTGGGATGCTAAGGCAAGGGAACTGAGAGTTTGAGTTCAGTCTAGGTTGGATAGAAATTCTGAAAGAATGAAAGAAAGAAGGGGAGGAAGGAAGGGAGGGGAGAGAGGGAGGAAGGAAGAAAGAAAGATGCACACAAGCTCTAAAACAAAAAATAAAATTGGGAGCAACATTAATTGTAAAGCTATAAAATTAATTAACTGGATATTCTGATCAGAGCGTTCAAAATCTGAGGAAAACTATACTATCATCACAAGCCTATACAATAGCCAGTTCCACTTGTATAGTGTACTCGGTAAAGTCACTTCTTTCTTTTAGAGACAAGACAACAAATTTATGTGGTAAAATTGAATAGAACTAAACAGTAAGAATTCCAAGTTTTCCAAAAGTCTTCTGATAATGGCTGTGGATCTTTGAGGCAAAGAGTGGAAGGCTCTTGGAAGGGGATATGTCCAAGCCCAGAAATGAGAAAAACATTAAAAAAGTACTCAGAGTTTGGTAGTTGGGAAGGGAAGTGGGAACTGGATGTAGTGACGGAGGTGAATCTCATTCCCTGTTCAACACCAGGAATTGATTGAATAACTGACCATATGTGAGCTGCCTGATGCCAGGAACTTCATATAGTATCACAACTTTTATAACGGTTGCTGTTGTTTTTTAGTGTTGGAGACGAAACCCTGGTTGTCACATATGCAAGGTCATAACCAGTAGGGATCTGTTACCTCTTAAGAGAAAATGATGGAGAATGAATGCAATTTAAAGCTAAAAGAAATCACAGTAATTGCATCACAGCATAAAAGAATCATTCCAGTTTGACCAAGGGCTAGCACAGATACTGAGCTTTGGCTGAAGCGAGGCTTTGAACTTGAAGATATGGAGGGAAAAGCAGCTCCATGCTAGGGAGAGCTCTTACAATTGGAGGATGTTCTATTTTCCTCTTTTTAGAGGCAAAATTACAAAAGCAACCATTTTCGCTTGTTGAATTTTGTGAGATAACCGGTATGAGACTACTTCAATATTGGCATTCTATTTCCTATTGGAATGTGGTCGATGGACCTGTTTGAGAGTAGTGACTAATTAGGCAGGGCCTAGACAGCTATACTCCCTTCTCTTTATTTTTTTCCTTCCTTCCTTCCTTCCTTCCTTCCTTCCTTCCTTCCTTCCTTCCTTCCTTCCTTCCTTCCTTCCTTCCTTCCTTCCTTCCTTCCTTCCTTCCTTCCTTCGCCAACTTGACACAGCTAGACTTATATGGGAAGGAAAAGCTCAATTGCAAAAATGCCTCTATCAGATCGGTCTGTAGATAAGTCTGTGGGGATTTTCTTGATTAATGATTGATGTGGGAGGGGAGGGCCCAGGCCACAAGCAGTGGTTTTGAATGGTATAAAAAAGCAGACCAAGCAAGCAAAGGGCCACAAACCATAAGCAACATTCCTCCATGGTCTTTGCTTCACTCTCTTGCCTCCACGTTCCTGTGTTGGTTTCACTCCCATTGATGGACTGTAACCTGTACCCAAATAAACCCTTACCCCCACAACTTGCTGTTGGTCATGGTATTTCATCACAGCAGTAGAAACCTAACTAAGACACTCTTCTTCCCTATCCTTGGGCTCATGTGATCTTCAAAATCCGATTTTCTTTTTCTTGGCAAATGAAAAGATCTGTAAGTGGTGGTTATGAAGTTTGAAGAAAGGATTTGAATGGTAATTCCCTGCTCTTTTTATGAGGATGTCTGACACAATGCAGTCCTTCAGCTGGAAAAACTAGATAACATTGAGTTATCAGGAGCAAAATAACCAGAGTGAGAAAATAGTTACTCATTTGAATAGCATTTATTTGAAATATTAGCATGTATTCCAGTTAAATAGTATTTTCTGACATCTACCTTAAAAGAGCAAGTATGGGAAGAGTGATGACATGTAGGGAGAAGGACCAATAGCAAGTGTTGTCTTTCCTACATAGAATCTAGATTTAAAACATTTACACACATGAAAGCAGAAGGGGGCCTATTTGAAGGAAGGGAACCAGAGGGAGGGAGGAGGAAGAACAAGGCTGGGTAATGGAGGAACAAATGTAAACAAATGTGTGTGTGTGTATGTATACAAAAATACCATAAGAAAACCCACTATTTTGTATGCTGGCAAAAATTTAATAAGAAAATGAAAAAAAAAAAGGACCAAGAAAGTCAGCAAATAAGAATCATGTCTAACCACTTAAGAGCAGGAGCAGCTTCCAACTGAGCTATAGTATACTTAGAAGGTGTCACTGAGCTTTTCTTACAAATGATAAGTACCATCAGGGTGTCGAATGTTTTTTGTTTTTGAGATGTTTTGGAATAACCTGAAAGTCTGTGAAATTCAGAATAAGATTGCAATATACTAGCTCTTGAAGCTGAGGACTCTGCCCTATTCTTGTGTTATCGATGCTTTCCATAATAAAGAAGCAGCAACACATATTGATAGAATCATCACAGTATTTTTTTTAAAAAAGAGACAAGGCTACAAAGGGAGTTCCAGGACAGGCTCCAAAGCTACAGAGAAACCCTGTCTCGAAAAACCAAAAAAAAAAAAAAAAAAAAAAAAAAGAGACAAGGCCCATGAAGTTTACAGAGGTAACAGAAGTGGACCTATACTTTAAACTGCTGATGAAAACCTGGGCCTTTTGTAAATGAGGCATTGAAGGCAAACAAGAAGCGAGATTAGCCAAATAAAATGGGAAATAAGTTATAAGGCGCAAAGTTTCAAGTATTTAAAGCATTGAACACTTATTTTTATGCCTTGGTACAGAAATTACGGTATAGTTGCTACCTTATCACTTCCTATAATATTACCACCATTTGCTAGGAATAGGAAATTTTAAAATAATTTTTGGACATTACAAATAGTCCAAATTTCTTACTAAGGCATAAAAATAAGTATTCAATGCTTTAAAAATAGACAAAATCAAATACCAGACGCTGTTGGAATGAAGCACATTGCCTTGGAAACCAGGAAGTTAGCAACAACTGAACAAACACAAAGGAAGACTTCTATTATTAGCAAATGCTTATAACTCAAAAAGGCAGGTGGGAGATTTTATTATATGGTAACTACGCCATCAGCTGCTGAGGAGATCTCGTGCAGTGCTCAATGCAGTTCCAGGTGCATATGAAGTGCTCTGTCGCAGATGCTAGAATTCTTTATTTGTCTTTCTTTCTTTCTTTCTTTTTGGTGTTTTTGAGACAGCTTCACTATGTAGCCTTGGCTAGTCTGGATCTTTCTATGTAGACTAGGCTAGCCAAGTTTAAACAGATCCTCTTGCCTCAGTCTCCCAAGTGCTGGGGTTAAAGGTGTCATCACCATGCCTGGCCCTTGGTGCATTTTTACCTGAGTTTCCTTCAGTACATTAGTACCTGTAATTTCATTCGATTTGGTGACATTCAACTAGAAAGCCCAGTCTATGTATTTCTGATAACCACTCACAATCTCCAAGGACAGGAGGGCAACGACTACTTAAGATGCAACCTCCTATAGTATTTAGTTACATTGAAAGTAGTACTTTTATTTATTAGTCATCAACTGACTCTAAGAGAAGCAGAAAAAGCTATACTTATAACTTCTGACAGTGCACAAGGCAAACATACTAAATCATTGACCATCTCCACCCCCATGTGTTTTAATTACAGTTTGAAAGGATGAGGCTGCAACTCTGAAACTACCTTCCCACATTACGGGCTAGAAAGATGGCTTAGCTACGAGAGTGAGTATTGCTGTTGCCCAGAGCATGTGCTCAACTCCCAGTTCCCACAGGAGGCTCCAGGGAGATCTGGTCTCCACTGGCACTTGCTCTCCGGTGCACATATCCACACACAAACATATGCATATACATAATTAAAAATCAAATTTTTCAAAAGTATAACATCACTGACAAAATTAAAAGAAAATGTTAGTGGTCTTAGTTTGGGAGTCTAGTGTTACATAAACTTGTATTTGTATTTGTTCTTATGTTACCAGGCACAGCAAAATGAAGCAATGATTCAGTTGAATAGAAAACATGAGTTTCAGTGATAATGGGAAAAAAATCCTCAACATTAAGTGCTTTGACCAGAGACAAAGACACAGACTCTCATGGTTTCAGACCCTACCAGCTACATGTGTTAGAGTATGGTTAAAAATGTAAGAATAATTGGGACTGTGAACAGGCTTTCAGCTTACTTATTTCTGAGACTCTTTAGGTCTTTTTTTGATATAGCCCTCCACAATGTCAGTAATAGCATTATTTTTTAAAATGTTTCTTTTTTTAAATAATGAAAGCAGTAATCTTTCGATTACAAGGAGATAATAATAGTTGAGGTTTTCATTGCACAAAATATGAATTTTAAGTCATATTAATTGGGGCTGAAGAGATGGCTTAGCCCCTCTGGAGGATCCAAGTTTGGGTCCTAGCATCCACATTGGGTGGAACTCTACTTCCAGGGGATCCAACACCTCTGGCCTCTGCAAGAACCTACATTCACGTGCAGACAATATATTTAAAATTAAAATAAGAAAACAAATTCTTTCGAGAAAATACCTCTGAATTGTTATCATGAAGCATGGTTGTGATGCTCACATGTCAGTTTACTCTGTAATATAAAGACATTTTTCTGCTGTATTGGTCGAAATTTAAAATTAGGATAAGAAACAACTTAAAGTACCTGAGTGAAATTTCCATTTGAATGTTATAAATTAGGAAAAAAAGCTTTAAAAATAAAGGCCTTTTCATTACTATTTAAAAAAGACCCACAGAAGTCTGCTTCTCATTGAGTTGAGCTCATGGTGACTCACACTTTATCCGGACTCCACTGTGCTTCACAAGACTACTGGGACCTTTGCTATGGTGGGGCGAGTACCTAGCTGACAGTCAGTTGGTGGGCAAAGACAGAGTAACTTCAAAACATCTTTTGGGATCTTTTAATCTGAATGGAAAAGAAAAAGTCATTATCCATTACCTTATATTTTCCTTTAATAATGCCTTCAAACAGTCTTTCCTTGGTTCCATAGAAAGGCAAGCAACCGCTGAGCAGGATGAAAAGGATCACACCACAGCCCCAGACATCAACAGGCTTTCCATAAGGCTCTCTCTTGACTACTTCTGGGGCCATAAAGTGAGGTGTTCCAACGCGTCCTGTATTTAAAACAACAGTATGGAAAACTGGTTTTATGAAATGTTTTTTTTTTTCCTATTTGAAATCTGAAAATAAAAAAAAAAGCAATATCAGCTGGGTGGTGGTGGCGCAAGTCTTTAATCCCAGCACTCTGGAGGCAGAGGCAGGCAGATCTCTGTGAGTTCCAGGCCAGCTTGGTCTACAGAGCAAGTTCCAGAAAAGAGAAACCCTGTCTCGAAACCGCCCCCCAAAAAGCATTATCAGTCTGAATGTTCTTCAAACACTTCTCTTTATAAAAGGAGTTCATGGTTCCGTGCTCCCCTGTCCAACCTTCCTTTATCCCAATCCTCCTGCTTTCCCAAGGCCCGACCTCCTTCCCTTCTAACTTTTCTCTCCCCATCTCCCCTTACCCCCAACCCACCCCACCCCAAGATCCCAATTTTCTCCCCGGCAATTTTGTCTACTTCCCTTAGCCAAGAGGATAACTATATGTTTTTCCTTGGGTTCCCCTTCTTACTTAGCTTCTTTAGATTCTTAGTTAAGGGAACCACTTTAGGGTTGGCAAGAGACCTGATCCTAGAGGGGCTCCCAGGTGCCCAAGCTGAGGTCCCCAGTTAGTTCCTTGGGCAGTTGAGAATAGGGAACCTGAAATGACCCTATCCTTGAGCAATACTGACGAATATCTTGCATATCATCATAGAACCTTCATCTGGTGATGGATGGAGATAGAGACAGAGACCCACACTGGAGCACTGGACTGAGCCCCCAAAGTCCCAATGAGGAGCAGAAGGAGGGAGAAGTCGGGACCACGAGGGATGCACCCACCCACTGAGACAGTGGAGCTGATCTATTGAGAGCTCACCAAGAGCAGCTGGACTGTGACTGAAAAAGCATGGGATAAAACTGGACTCTCTGAACATGGCGAACTATGAGGGCTGATGAGACGCAAAGGACAATGGCACGGGGGTTTGATCCTACGTAATGTGATGGCTTTGTGGGAGCCCAGCCAGTTTGGATGTTCACCTTCCTAGATATGGACGGAGGTGGGAGGTCCTAGGTCTTACCACAGGGCAGAAAACCCTGACTGCTCTTTGGACTGGAGAGGGAGGGAGAAAGGAGTGGGGGGAGGGGGAGAAGGGTGGGAGGAGGGGGCGTAGGGGGGGAGGAGGGGGAGGGAAATGGGAGGCTGGGAGGAGGTGGAAACTTGTTTTTTTTTTTCTCCATTTCTCAATAAAAAAAAGTAAAAAAAATAAATAAATTAATTAAAAAAATAAAAATAAAAATAAAAAAATAAAAAAAAAGTGAAAAAAAAAAGGAGTTCATGGAAGGAAAAATAGTTTATCTGATCACCTTTAAAAAACACTGGGTCTAGAACAGGACCTGGTATCTATCTCTGAATTCTGCATGTTCTATAATAGGCTTTTATTTCTTGTATCTTCAAGAAGTTTAAATGTTGTAATTTAGAGTGGGGCAGGGAAGAGTGGGTTGACCGAGCCTGGAAGAGGTGGAAGCCTGCTTTGGGTAGAGGCGGGGCAAGGGCAGGGAGAGGGCATAAGTGAGCGACATTTTGATGGTAAAACAATTACTTTTAATTGCCAAGTTCCTATTAGGTTGGTTGCAGCAATTCTCAAAGGCCACTGGGGATAACCATTAGCTCCCCCCTAGTGCTAACACTTGAAGAGAATGAGAGTAAACAAAATGAGGAACTCCCTCCCATGCACCCTCTTTTTTTTTTGAGACAGGATTTCTCTGTGTAACAGCCCTGGCTCTCCTTGAATTCACTGTGCAGACCAGGCTGGCCTCAAACCCACAGAGATCCACCTGCCTCTGCCTCCCAAGTGCTGTAGTGCTGGGATTAAAGGCGTGCACCATCATGCCTAACTGGCTCATAGGAGTTGAGTGCCAAAGTATCATCTGACTTTTTCACTCTCATCTTCTATAAAGGATTTTCTTTTCTCTCTCTCTAGCACTATCTGCTTGTACATCATAACCGTTTTAACTGAGTACCAAAAGATAGTCTTTTCCTCTATGGAGGAATAAAAGGGTTAAACTCTAGGGAAAGGACTTTGGGATGGGCCATTGACTACCAGACTTGGCAGCTCTTTTACATTTTGTAGGCCCAGCCCTGCCTTCCTTTGTCTGTTTGTTCATCTGCCTGTCTCTTCTTATGTTGAATCCAAGATCATCTTTACTTTGAAGGTTGCAAAATACTTTATCTCACTGTGGTTCAAAGTTTAAAAACAACCTAAGAAATCTTTTAGTCCATCTACAGAGACTATGTTGCAAAGGCCTGTTGGTTATCAAACTCAGCTGGGATGGAGAGGGCTAATGATCTCTGCTGCAGATTCTTCTCGTTTCCCTTTCATTCCTCAGAATGGAAGAGATTAACTTCAGGGTTCCAACAGGAAAAATACCCTCACTTAAAATGTACAATGAAAACTCAGTACTGGCTACAAGGACCTGATGAGAGAAATAGTTTTTATTTCTGGATTGCCTAATTTTGCTTCCTCAAGCAGCATAAAGGAGCTGCAGTGTTGGGAACTGAACCTTCCAGTTCATTGGCAACTTCCATAAGGCAGGGTCCCAGGATAATAACCATTGTTCTAATGGACAGGGCAGGAGCTGGCAGAAGTCGGGAAAAGTAGGTCTAAGAGCTCAGGGCATCATTTGAAACACTACTCCCAGGACCCATGGATACCTACTGAAAAGTTCACTTGGTACTTTGACACTCAACTCCTACGACTTCCTACTTAGGTATGAGTGACTCATTGTGTGTGTGTGTGTGTGTGTGTGTGTGTGTGTGTGTGTGTGTGTGTGTGTGTGTGTAATAATACAAACCACCACAGTCTAGGCCCAGCCATCTATCTGGACTGAAGAAATGAGTGCTCTTTCTTAGGGAGGATGTATACTCTCAGCTCAAGAATTTGCTCAGAGATGACAGATATACTTTAAAATTTTAAGTACATCTGTAATGTGAAAAACTTTACCTAACTCCTTGCTTTTGCTACCAATTTTTTGCAACTTTATTTTTTTGCGACCACTTGACTTCTATGACTTTGATCACAAAATTCTAAGAACAGGAAACCAATTACCAAACCAGACATGGAACCTCAGATATTTACATAAATATTTAAATGCTAACTTAAATGCCATTATAAAACCCTCCCTCAAACTTCAGGGAAGGACTTGTTCTGAGTGGTTATGCTTTTACTACTTTAGGATTTGAATCTTCATACATATAGCCTTTTTTACCTTATCCTTTTTCTAGGTGGTTTACAATTTCCTGCCGAGTTTAACATTCTATGTTGCACATTATTCAGCCTTTTTGTGGCGACTTGCAGTTATCATCCTGGCTATCAACACAGGAGCCTTCACTACAGAACAGACTGCACTCCCAGGAGCCTCACAGGTATGGAAGGCTGGATCTCTGTAGTATGCTGTCCTTGCCTTGCTGTCACCGTTACTACATTTTCTGTCATCAGGCTTTCATTTTCTTCCCCGTCCCCATGCTTTCTGCAGTGTTGGCAACTCTTAACTTGCAGCTTACTATCTGCTACTGACTGGAAAATGTCTTTCATTCAAACAGTACCAAAGTGCTTGTCAGGTCCTCACCATGGTGGTAGGTGTGCAGATGTGTAGAGGGATGAGCCATGGCTCTTCGACCCCTTACACATCTTTTGTCTGCTCTTATTACATGTCCTTGATCAGATTTTGTAAGGAGGTAGGTAACCTAGATAGTTCTGCTTAGATAAAGAGGAGGGATGACAGTTATAATATGCTTGTTTTTAAAAGATAATAATTATAGACCAGGCTGGTCTCGAACTCACAGAGATCTACCTGCCTCTGCCTCCCGAGCTAATCAAAGATTCCAATCTACAGGAAAAAAGCTTTCTGTTCCAAAGCTGATAAACATTAGCAAAATTTCAAAAATAAACATCAGAAAAGCTTTTTTCTAAGGAAAATCATGTATCCCTTTATCTAGTCACATTGTGTTTTTAAAGGCATCACAATATTTAAAATGTTACTTCAAGAATATATAGAATGGTTTATTAAGGAATGACAGTATTTTGACTATTAGAAAGCATTTTAGGACTGGAGATGTAGCTAAGCAGGTGCCTGCCTAACATGTACAAGTCCTGAGCTCCACCCCCAGCACCATATTAAAATTCGGTGTGATGGTTGGTGCACATCTGCAATCCTAGTGCTCAGGAGGTGGAGTCAGGAAGATCACATGTTTAAGGTCTTCCTCAATTCCTTATCAAATTGAAGACCAGCCTGGGTCACGTGAAATCCTGTCTGAAAAGAAAGTTTAAAAAAGAATTTTAATTCTACAGCATAAAAAATAGTAATTTTTGAATAATGGATCTGCTGTGAGCTCAAAAGTAGTTGAAAAATAAAAATTAGGAAAAGGGTTCATGGACTTTACAAAAATGACTGAACATGGATACAATCTTAATAAATCTACTCTTCCCAATCAAGATTTGTGAAATAAAATAGAGTCCATGCCACAATGAATAGAGAATGCAGAGTAACAGACACAAAGTCACTCAGTATATAACACAGAAAAGGAATTTGGCTCATTCTCTCTCATTGTCATGTTATTGAAAGAGTTTAGCTGGAAAAGTATGCAAGGTCAGAAGAACTTAACAGAGTTTAATATCAGAAATCAGTGTGCTAGAGAGTTATTGTTATTTATTAAATTTTTATATTTATTTATTTATTATGTATGTAGTGTTCTATTTTCACGTATGCCTGCACACCAGAAGAGGACAGCAGATCTCACTATGAATGATTGTGAGCCACCATGTGGGTGCTGGGAATGGGCCTTAGGACTTCTGGAAGAGTAGCCAGAGCTCTTAGCCATCTCTCCAGTCCCCAGAGAGTGATTTTTTAAACTACAACTATAATTTATGTTCATTTTTTCAGAAGATAGTCCATATTGTTACTGCTTGATGCTCTAGTCATAATCAAATCGAATGAAATATCTTCTGTAACAGACAGCTATTTTGACAGGTATGGTTTGGAAAGCATTTACATTCAACATAAGCATTTGCTTTTTTTTTTTTAAATAAAAGAGTGTCTTGCTGTGTTGCCTAGGCTGGTCTCAAAGCAACCTTAGCCTCTATAGTGCTGGGATACCATGTGTCCATCACCACACCTGCTTAACAGAAGTATTCTGAAGGGTGGCCAGTTGACTGGAAGATTTTGTGTTAAAGGATACGTTTCATGTTGTTATTCTTCGTGAAGCTCTTAGTACTTGGAGGTGGAAAAGAGAAAGCACTGACTACACTGGCAGTATTGAATGGAGAACTATACAATTTGCAAAAGTAAGAACTAGAGGTAAACTCTGGGCAGCATTGTGGGCTGGTCTCTGTTGAAAAGAATAAATAAAGACCCCACAATCCTGGGATCTTAATTAACATCCACTTCTATACACCAGTGAAGAAAGTTCCTACTTTTACTTTCTTGTTTTCTATTATGGCATAGGAATTTTAAAATCATGTTTTGATTTGGTCAATAAGACAATCAGCCTGTATTCTTATCTATTTGCTCTTCAGGAACACACAGGCTAGTGACTTCAGGATTCTTCGATATATAGAAAAAGGAAAATGGTACAAAATTAAACTTAGACTGCTGTGACACTAGAAGGTAAGCCTATACATTCTAGAAGTGACTTTATTTGTCCTGTTCACCTTCCAAAGCTTCTATGCTCCAAACGTTAACCACTTTGTACACTGTTCTTGTATTGGGCTTCCTTGGGGCTTCTTCTCTGTGAACTGCTAGGGACACAATACAGAAAGCTACACAGCACTTTCGACAGTGCTGGAGATGGAACCCAGTGCCTCATACATGCTAGACAAGTGCTCTGCCACAAAACTACACCTACAAGCCCAGAGGCTTTTGTTTTTGCTTTTTGTTTGTTTTTTGAGACAGGGTTTCTCTGTGTAGCCCTAGCAATCCCGGAACTCATTTTGTAGACCAGACTGACCACGAACTTGGAGATCTGCTTGCCTCTGCCTCTTGAGTGCTAGGATTAAAGGTGTGCGCCACCACCTCCCAGCCAGTCTGTTTTTAAGGGAGTAAAACAGTTATGATAGCAGAGTTCCTCAGATGAAAACTATCTGATGGTGCTGGGTAGAACGGGGTGTGAAACACTCAGGCTGGACTACTATCTAGTTTTAAATTTTACACCAATTTAAAAGTAATCAGGTTTTGAAGGGGGAAAACAAATATGTTAAAATGGTCTTACCTCCAGCGACAAGTCCAGATTCTCCTAACTGAATAGCTACCCCAAAGCCCCCAAGCTTAACAGGTGCCGAGTTTTCTTTTGAAGCGAGGAGAACACAGTGGGGCTGAAAAGAAAAATCAACAATCAAACCTAAAGATAAGAATTAATTGAAAATAATTCAATTTACACAAAACTAAATAATACAATACAGTCATACTTAAAAGAATGTTGGAATTGGACCTGCAGGATGACTCGGAAGGTAAAGGTACTTGCCCGGTCGACAACTTGGGACTCACAAGGTAGAAAGAAACAACTCCTAAAAATTGTCTTCTGGGCCCCTTACCTCCCCCCAATAACAACCACATGTGTTAAAAAATTAAAAACCTATTATTAAAAAACAAACTTCTGAAACTGGGCAGTAGTGGTACATGCCTTTAATCCCAATACTCAGGCAGTTGGATCTCTGAGTTTGAGGCTAGCTTGGTCTTTAGAGTGAGTTACAGGACAGCCATAAGTCCACAGAGAAACTCTGTCTCAAATAAACAAACAAATAAATAAAAGCTTCTGAATTATTTTATATGCTTGAATTCTTTATTCTCTTCTCACTTCTGAATGCTTTCTCTAAAGACTTAGGAATTGTTTCCTATATTAAGTTATCATTCATAAAGCATGGATGTTCAAGAAGTGCAGATATATTTTCTTTTTCTGAGCAATAATCTCTTCATTTGACAATTTATATTTTTTTTAGCAAAAATACATGGTATACGTCTTCCTGTTACAATGTGATTTTACTTAGAGTCACCATAGTTTGACCCTTAGGGGATGCTAATGGCCTTTTCTTTGTTCACCCTCCCCATCATCTTTCTATTTTTTTTTTTTTACCTCTGCGTAAGAGGAATCAAAATGACTATTTTATTGTTGTTGTTTGAGACAGAGTTCCTCTGTGTAACAGCCTTGGCTGCCCTGGAATTTGTTTTGTAGACCAGGCTGGTCTCCAATTCACAGAGATCTGTCTTCCCTTTCCTCCCAAGTGCTGGGATTAAAAGTGTGGATGTTGGGTTTTAATAACTTGAACTGAGCTGTGTTCCTAGGGATTTCTCCTTGGGCATGTCTTGCCTGTGAACCTATTCTTCTTTCCTGGTTTCCTTGTAGGATCTCATCTTCATCTGTTTGCTCTTGGAAGTTGGTTGGAGGGGGTATCAGAAAAGAAGGTAATTGTAATGACTCTGCTCAATTACTATATTCTCTGTTATACCTACCATATATTCAAATGATTCTTAAAACATGGCCTAATATGAAAAGACAAGCCTTTTGAGGTAAAGCACTTTTTATTTTCTCTTATATGATGGACTTACAAATGGCTATAAGCCACCTAGTGTGTGTGTGTGTGTGTGTGTGTGTGTGTGTGTGTGTGTATGTGTGTGTGCGCTAGGAACTGATATCATTTTAAGTATGTTTAGCTTACAAGATAGTTGGCTTGAAAAAAGGCCCTACCACCCTGCACAATAAAACTGAGCTAGTATACCCATACAGATGTTTGACAGTGATAAGCAGAAATGGGAGTGATCCTTCTTTCTAATAAGAGCATCAGAAATGCTGGATGCTGGGCGGTCATGGTGTACGCCTTTAATCCCAGCACTCGGGAGGCAGAGGCAGGTGGAGCTCTGTGATCTGTGAGTTCGAGGCCAGCCGGGTCTAAGGAATGAATTCCAGGACAGCTAGCGATACACAGGGAAACCTTGTCTCAAAAAGCAGAGAGAGGGAGAGGGAGAGGGAGAGGGAGAGGGAGAGGGAGAGAGAGAGAGAGAGAGAGAGAGAGAGAGAGAGAGAGAGAGAGAGAGCGAGCGCATCTACTCTGGAAGTTATTCTTACTGTTAGAACATTTTAAAGGCCTTTACACTGAGTGCATCATAAAGAAAGATGAATCCTCAAATAGAAGTGTACATAAGTATATGAGAACACCAGAAAGAAAGAGAGCGGAAGAGAAAGCAGGTATACAAATCAATAGTGAACAAACTGGCATGACAAAACAGTGAGAAGAGCCTATGGGAGCTGGGGACATAGCTCAGTGGAGAGCACTTGTCCAGCACATGCAAGTTTGAGAAAGGATGGACAGGAGAAGAAGATACAGCTTAGATTCAAACAGGGTCTCTTGGTCATTCCTATGGAAGCATTTTATCACTTTCTTAGGGAGGAGTATAAGCTTCAGACAGAAGCCATGTATGGTACATTTCTCATCATAGTCAGTTGACTATATTAATTCTGAAGTTAATGTTATATTGTAATCTATGTAATTCTCATCACTGTGGATTCAGACATTTTCAATCAATCATGTGTGAAGAGTCATAAAATTTGTAGTCCTGGTAAAAATGCAACAAATCAACAGATACAAATTAATAATTATAAAGCAGAAAGCATATAATATAAAATTAAGCTGGTGAGGATTTGGGAACTGTTATTTCATTTGGGTGTTTTTTTTTATTGGAGCAAAATCTGAACAGAGACTAGAGTGAAGTTAAAGAAAAAGCAAGCCACATAGAAGCAAGCTATGGGCAGAGAAAACATTCAATAAACACAAAGGTCCAGTGATATGGGGAGGGTTTTTATGTATGAATAGTGAAAAGAAGGATATTTGGGAAGAATGAGCAAAGGTAGAGTGCTAGAAACTCTGATTACAACATCCTTAAAATCATGGTCAACACTAGATTTTACACTGATAATGATGGAAAAACTACACGGGAATTCTGAACGTGGAGCGCTATAATCACCTTGGGGTTCAGAAAGGATCCCTCTGACTGCTCTGAAGACCAGTGATTATAGGAACACAAGAATGAGCGAAAAGAGGCGACTACAGATGATCAGGCATGAGATGATAATGATATGGACAGAAGATGACAAGACCCGATCAAACATAGCTCATGTTCTAAAGGTAAAGCTGAGAGGAATTGTTGATGGATAGATGTGTAAGAGAAAGAGGCGGGTCAAGCTTGACAAGCAGGTTCTTGGAGTGAAAGATAAAGACCATATACTGAAATGGGGAATTCTAGGTGAAGAATTTGAAAGAAGAACTATTGAGTGCTAGGTCTTGTAAAATAGTGTGGGGCAGGGGCTGGGATTAGATATGCAAATTTGGGGATCAACAGCATGCTAATAGTATTTACAGCAAAGATAATGATGTTTCTCAGGGAGTGACTACTATTAGAGAAGAGGGTGGAGAGTTGGGTCTTCGTAGGTAAATGGAAGGCAGAAACAGGAGGCGAATCTGGCAAAAGAAAACAGAATGGCCAGACAGTGAAACAAGATGAACATCAGAGTTTGCATCTTAGAAGCCAAGTGAGGAAGGGACCTTTTTTCAAGAAGAAATGCTTAGTAGTGAGTGACTAATGCTACTGAGGCCATTTTAAATTGAGAACTGAGAACAGATGATTAGATCTGGCAGTTTGGAAGCCACTGGTACCCATGATGAGAGTAGTTTTGGTGGTACAATGGGGATTAAAATGTCCATTGAACTAGGTCTGCAGAGAATGGGAAGAGATGATGTGGATACAGTATGTATAGATAGGTTCCAAAGTTTTCTATGCTAGGATTTGAGACGGGACACAGACGAACATGGAACTGAAGAAGTCCCACGCCCACACTTCAACCTTAAGACCAATCATATAACTTCATCTATTTACCAAGTTCAGTGTTTCTAAAAGAAGACCTAAAAATAATTACATTTAAAATATAAAAAATTTATGTAATCATTTTATATAAATCATTACCACATCAAAAAAGCAACAACTGCAATTATCTTTCTTTGAAAAAAGATTTTATTTTTACATGTGTGTGTATGCGTGTGTGTGCATATGAGTGCAGTGCCTGTAGAGGCTGAGAGGGCATCTGACTCTCTGGTGCTGGAGTTGCAGGAAGTTGTGAGCCATTGACTTGGGTGTTGGGAAGTGAAGCCTGGTCCTCCGGAAGAGCAGGAAGTCCTCTTCACTGCTCAGCCATTTCTTTAGTCCCTCTAACAGTCGCATTACATAAAAATTTTCTTGACTATCAAAACAATGCTTTTTAGTTGTGCTTTAGTTTAAAATAAAACCCAAACCCTAGTATTTTGGAGGTAAAGAAAGGAAGATCAGGAGTTCAAGGGTGGCTCCAGCTGTATATTAACAGCTCCAGAAGATTCTATCTCAAAACAAACACCCAAATTAAATGAGATACATGACCTTCTATTATATACTTCCCCTTCTCCAATGTCCCCTTCTATTATATTCCCCCCTTCTCCAATTTTCATGGTATTTATTTAAGATACTCAGTAATTTCCACCACAAAAATCCCCTCCAGTCTAGATTTGGCTAGTTGTGCCCACGGGTTTATAATCTATTATGCTTTGTACTTTGCTGCATTTCATGGAGATTCATAGTTAGATCTAGAATCTGGATTAGAGTCAGGTTCAATTTCAGTTTTATGTACGGATACTTCATGTGGTTTAATTGCTATATCTCATCAGTAAGAGCATGTCTGGTTGCCCTGCTTTAGTTACAGGATTCAGCTGTAGGTTCAGGTGTTATTTGCCTGACCCATCATGAGATTTACTATCAACTGTTCATTTAAAGGTGTCTCTAATTACAGATGTTAACAGCCTCATTCCATAGATTCATACTTTCGGATCCTAAAAACTTAGTGTCTGTAAAAATACTAAAGGAAAATTTACATAGCATAGAATGTACACATCAAAAGATACTCCCAGAGAGTTTGGATGAAGAAAATCTTTGGAACCCAGAGACCTATCAGGACAGTCCCACCAGTCCAGAAACTTCCTTATCCATTTCCCATTCACTCTCTGCTGCCATTGCACACAGTTCTGTGAGTTTTCCAGCAGGGGCTTGCTTTGCCAGTGTTAGGACTTCGTATACATGAAAGCATAAAACGCGTTATTTTGTGCAAGGTTCCTTTCAGCATATTTCCAAGATTGAGCCATTTTCTTGTGATCAGGAAATCATTTCTTTTTATTACTATATTCCATATTTTTCCACTCTCCTATGGATAGACATTTTGACTGCTTCCTGTTTTTCTTTGTGTGTGTGTGTGTGTGTGTGTGTGTCTGTGCATGTGTGTTTGCATGGTACATGCACATGT